GCACTCTGAGGTTGCGCGAGACCAAACAAAGTCATAAATTACATCCTTCCTCACATAACTTTTCGAAATTCTTTACATAAATCCAATCTTTAGTCCACTCTCTACCTATGAGAACTTATCTTAACCCAAGTTTTATCCCGCCTGCCTTTGCTAGGGCTTTTGATGATAGAAAAAACCTCCTTTTTCGCCTTCTGTCGTTTTATATCTGATTTTCTTGACTTTTCCTTCAAATTTATCAACTTACCGTTCACTGTAGATTATAAGCCTTACTTCTACAAAAGCGCAAAAGGTTATTCGTAAGATTCTGCAATGTCAAAAGGGACTTCTTTTCCAAGGTTCTCAAATGCCACCTCGTGCTGGGTCCTGTTTCCGAAGGAAGTTATGAGCGTTTGAATGTCTATATTCGCCAAGCATTGAGTGACTTAAGATCAGCGAAAAGCTCTAAAACAACCTATGCAATTCCCACCGGCTTTGTTCCTTCCTCGCAAACAATATACCTGATACAAAACTGATTTTCCTCTTTCCGGTGTTTTTGTACAGCTTCTCGCCAATTTGAGGCCACCTAAACCTTGACAAATTTAGACGTTCAAACACCCGCAGTTTCTTTCGGAAACTTATTCCGCAAAAAAGGAAAACAGATTTGGAATCAGCGTACAAAGACGCGTCTACTGATAAACATCTCATCTTCAATTGCCGACTAATGTTGGTATCCTTCCCTTGTCAGACATATCTAGAGCTGTCATAAACCCGCCCATTATATCAGTTTCTGATACTCCTTTACACCCTAAGCCGCCGCTTTCGAGCTCATTTCATACAGACCATCCACGATGGGGGCGGAGCTACCTGGGCCGCTTTTCCTTCTGAAGGGGTTTTCTCGCTTTAAAATTCATCTTTTGCAGCGGGAATTCAGCGACTGGCGAGTTAGGTCTCCCGTTATCTTACAGCTTTGGATTTCAAAATCCTTAATTTTGACATCTAAAAGAAGCGCACAAAGCTCACGCTTTTTCGAGTGCTCTACCCAATTATAAAGATAACGAACCTTATTTCGCGAAAGAAATGCACATCTTATTATGTTCTCAATATCTTCAGCTGTCATTTTGCAAATAGAATCGAGAAATTCGTCTGAGTAAGCTTTTATAGCTTTGTCAATATTCATTTTCTCCCGTAAGAAGAGAAAGATTGTAGCTGTGCATTAACATGAAATGAAACAATTTCAAGATCCGAACTGAAAAAGTCAGTGTGTCAAATATGTTCATATTAGTGATCCTAGGATGGAGGGGGGGGGGAGGCAATGAAGATTTTCTTCGAGTAAAAGTGCGTAGCATTAGCCCACTCCGAAAATTCGAATCCTTATCGAAATTTCGCTGGCGTCCGCAAAGAGAAAAATGTGTTACAAGGCTAAAAAAATCTCTTAATGAATTTATCTGAATGGGTAGCTAAAACGCTCCAACGTGCGAAGATTTTTTGATTGCAAAGATTTTTCTATCTCCCCGCGGAAAAAAAATCTTTAGTCTAGCCACTGGAAAACAAGCATCAGCCAGATTGTGAGCCCATGAAAGAGCAGAAGAATGAGATGGACAAATAGATGACCTAAATTTGAGTGAACGATTTTCTGGACAATTCCCCCTCTCCATTTCCAGAAAAGAAAGATAGCACCCCCCCTCACTTCACAAAAAATGGGCAACCGTCACTTACATACAAGCTAGCAGTGAAGGATGAACTTTTGATTGGGAGGAAATTGCAGGACTGCCTTACCATAAGACAAGGGGGCGTGCTCACTGGTTTCCAGAAAAATACAAAGAGTCTTTGCGTCTGATGGTAGATGGAATCCCACTATAAGAACGATTTCGATGAAGAAGCAAGAGTTCGAAAAGAATCTGATGATTCTATTTCAAACAGCTGACAGGATGTTTGGAAAACATTATCTGTATTGGCAAAGCAAAAGCAAAGCACGCACATTGTGCTTATAAACTGCCCTGCATGATTTTGTTAGCAGTTTTAGTCCGACATTTAAACCTTGATAAAAAATATGAATTTAATCGCCTTGAAAAATTGTGCTGTCAATGGATAAGTTTTTTTCCAGGAGATACCTCCTTTTCAAAACGAGAATATTTGATAAATTGTAAATATAATGGCACTTAAAGCAATAATCAAGTAGTGGAAGACAAAAAGAGACGGGTTGCCCTTTTGATTTGCTTGAATTCGCGTGAAACATTTGTAAATAGCTCTTAGGATCGCCTAATTGAGTGAAATTTGTTTGCTCAACTGCAGAGTAGTATTCAGATCTAATTATCTACCATATCTTTTGCCTTCTCGAGAATAGACCAACTGCGGAAGCTCTTTTGACACTTCATCATTCCAACCTTTTTTTGTGAAAAGGTACCCATGGATTTTGCGGTCAATTTTGAAAGGTTTTTTTAGCATTTGTCTGTATAGGACGGAATACTTCAAGGTAATAAAGTAACAAACTATAGAAAAATCATATGGTGCTGTCTAGATTTTGCAACTAGAATGAAAGAGAGTAAAAAAAATGGTTGCTCTATCCCAGTAAAGTCGAGAGCACGAAATCGCTCAAATCGCTGTAGGCTGAACGCCCGCGAGCCTGCCTGCAACGCGGCTGCCAAGTACGGGCGCTATGATGACTCATGCGCGCGAATGCCAATGTTAGCCCCCAAGAGACACGCTCGCGGGCCTTCAACCTGGGCGATTTCGTGCAGTCAACTATTAGGTTGGCACATAAGTTTTTGCAACTTGGTGCAACTTTTCCCGTAACTTTTTTCCTATTTTATGTAGCAATCTCATTTTGTGGCATCATATAGACCGTGATGTAAGCTGCAAGTCTGCGCAAACCGTTTGATTTTTGATAACGTAGTACAAAAAATCTAAGCATTTTTTGAAAACTGCTGAAAATCGATGTTTCACGATTTTTTGGCAAACATAGCCCTACGAAACCTGATTCAAACATATGAAAAAGCAATTATGGGCAGCATGTAGCTGGAAGTCGGCGCATTGAAATCAGTGAAAAAGAAACGAAATTTAGACACAAATTAAGGTGGGGCGCCTTTGAGAAGTTGAACAAGTCAAATGCGTCAAGTTTTGAAGGCAATTTGTCAATAACTAAGCTGCGAAAAGTCAGAATTCGCTATAGCTTTGCACTATAGAGTAATCCTATGCGGTAAACACGAATATCATATTCATTTGTTGCTAAGATGAAATTCATCTTTTGATCTCACGAACGAGGCCTTTTCGTGCGAAACGGATCTCATTTTTGTGATCGGCATGTCAAATAAGCCCTATAGGCCAAGTTTCAGCAAAATCTGATGCATTCTAAAAATTTTCCCATAGTGCCGTAAACCTACCGTAATCCTTACATAAGATGGTAAAATTCGGCAAAAATGTGTGCATTAGAAGCTTACATGATATTCCTTATATTGCCAAAAAATGAATGCGCTACGTTCAAATAGACAAAAGTTATATAAAAAGTTGCATTACTTACTCAGACAGCGGATTAGGACCCCTCCGCCGGAGAAATGGCAGGGTCGCGGCGTTTCCCCAGCGGTGGGTCTCCCATTTGTCCGGCGGAGCCCTCCCATTTCTCCGGCGGCAACCTCCCATTTCTGCTCCGGATACCTCCCATTTTCTGCTCCGGATACCTCCCATTTTCTGCTCCGGATACCTCCCATTTTCTGCTCCGGAGCCCCCCGATTTTGTGCGCCGGAGCCCCCCGATTTTGTGCTCCACAAGTCTGCCGCGGCATACTGTAATTAGCCCTAATCAAAGGCAGCTTCCAGGCAGATCTGGACCTATGGGGCTTTTACATGGAAAGTGCTTTTGGGGCCCTAACTAAGGCACTGCCGAAGCAGCAGTTCAGGTAGTGCTCTAATGGCCGAGATATTCCCCTCGAAACAGACCCCCCGCGAACGTATTCGCATGGATTCATGGCAGTTTCGCGCCAGGATCCACGCTTTGCGCCATGAATCCATGCGAAACACGGTCGCGGGGTCCAGTTTCGAGCAGAATATCTCAGGCGTTAGAGCACTACTTGAGCTGCCGGTTGGGTAGTGGCTTAGTTAGGGCCCCAAAAGTACTTTCCATGTAAAATCCCCATAGGTCCAGACTTGCCTGGACGCTGCCTTTAAGCTCCAAAGCCCAATTTTGTCTCTAAACCCCACCCAAATAAGCCGAATAGGACCCCCTCCCCCCGGGTAGGAGTTTAGCGCGACCCTCACCCCGTACTCTATCCCCTCCCTCTCACCCCTAGCGTTTGTGGATAGAAGATAGAAGAAAGAACGAAGAGATAAGACATTTATTTCAAATTTTTCAAACTTTCGATGCTTCATGATCTCTTCGAAACATGCTTGATATTCACTTTCTAACATTCCCTTTTCTGAATCTTCACTGGGATCTCGTAGCCGAACATTGATTCCAGCGAAAACATGCATTACATCGTTGCCCAAACTATCAGCGATCGAACAGTCAGCATCTCTGCAGAATACCATTAATGGTGAAATTGCACAAGAACGAGGCAGATATAACTGAAGGCAATACACTCATCAGTCCTCTCTGTCTTTGAGAGATTACGAAATTCTTTTGGAGAAAAATAGATGAAGTGAAAAACAATCCAACCATTTTGAGCTAAATGATGACATGTGATGTAATGATTCATGATTCAATTCTGGTTTTGTTATATCAAAAAGATTTCAAACCTAAACCTATTCTTTAAGTTTGCCCAGCTTTTGTTTCACATTATTTTCGCATCATTGAAATCTAATACTTACGATGACGGCAGCAAAAAATCATACCACGATGAGTTTGATTAATCTCGTAAGTGAAGCGTACGCGATAATTTTTGTTACGCCTTTTCAAATAATGCTTTTCCACTATAACAAAATTATTTATGAGCTTCAGAGATCTGCGTGTAACGACATGTTCTTCTTTTGTGTCGACCTAATTTTATGCGCTAAGGATTCGCATCTGGCCCTGATTATGAAACTGAATCTCTACCTGGACAGTAAGTACTGCATCTGCTTAAGAAGTTCGCTTTGCGCATCTTCGTCAGTATAACGCAGTAATGATGACAACAGCGTCACACCTTCCATATCCTTCCCATTAATATCCACATATTCGGACATCTCGTCCAGAAGCCATTGCACAATTCCATAATGGCCTATACTAATAAGGCTACACTTGGACTATATTTGGTTTCTCCAGCTCAATACCTTTAAGGTAAGCAATGGATAGTGGTGTTAGCTTCCAATCATTCTCTTGCTTGAGGCAGCTCGGATCAACACTAGTCAGAAGCTTTAGACATTCTAGCCAATCGTAAGCAGCAGCATAGTGTGCAGGTGTGTTGTTGGAAGAATCACCCTAGAACATGGCGTTACTAGCAATTCCAATTCGAATATGTATTTGATACCTTGAGAAAGTCAGCTCCTTTTGCCAGTAACATAGCCGCGCAATGTTCTTGTCCGTTAATGATAGCATGCGATAAAGCTGTACGTTTTTTGTGATCTTTAGCCATGATGAGAGCACCATGGGCGATTAGGATTTCAGCGATTTCGAGGTTCCCAAGAGAACAAGCTATCTGTAATTGTCAACTCTGAAGAGTGGCTAACTTTGATTAGTGTTCCATTATCAAAATGCGATCCGTACAGCATCTGGACAAGCTCTATTTCCAGAAAAAGCAATATCAAAAGTTGAAAAAATAGATAGAATGATATTTTAAATAGGTAAGTGCTACCACAAGTACAAAAATATTGTCAGAATTAACGAGAGCAAATCCGATGCCATCTTCCCTACGACTTGAAGGATTGAACTAAAACATCCAAGCGCCAGCTTTTTTGATCTTTCGTGGCCATTTGAACTTGCTGGTCCTTCAGCAAAAGCACTGGCCACATCCAGCGAACCCATCCTTGCGGCTACGACCACCATGCCGTCCATGAAGTTCACATTAAGATTGACGGCTTAACAGGGATATTCAAGACCCAAAAAGGACGGGTGATGATATTGAACCAGAAAAAAAGAATAAATGGTTGATGCACTCACCAGATGAGACATTTGGTTCCTTAGACACCTTGACTAAATCTTTATAACTCATTCCATTCATTACGAGATCTTTTCCTGACTCCCACTCAGTCTGCGACTCAAAGTTCAAAAACGCATTATTTCCCTCTCGGCCACCTAGAAAATTCGGAATTGTAGACATTAACATTCATTGTGATAAGATACCTCGCGTCATCTCCACTGCTCTAGTTGCACGACCCAACATATAAAAATTGGACTGTCCAGTGGTTTTCTGAAACATTAAGTTGAATAGTTCTGTCTTTAACTTATAGAATGAGCTCACCTTCGAAAGAGATTTGGTTCTCTTCGTGAGGTTTTTCCCGGTTTTAGCTGAGATCTGAGCTCAAAATACTCTTGCCGAACAGCATCGTTGTCACACAAAAGAGCACAACCATCTGGTGTTTTATCTTGCGCGTACGAAAATTTCAAAGAACATGAGGATGCGTCGATGTATCTGAAAACATCTGACTGATCAAGTCTTAGAAATCAAGACTTTCGGAAACTAGCAGCCTTACGAGACTTGTGTCCACTGGTAGCTAACAATGCTGCCATCGTCCTTAGCATTGCCATTAAGAACAATGGAAGATTCGGGAAGTGTATGATTACCGCCAGCATCAGCAACTAAAATTGTGATTTCATAAGACCAGAACTCAATTTCACACGGTAACACAGCAGCATGGAGCCATTGAAGAAGAACAGAGAATAATTGAATTCAAAAAAAACATAACATAAAAGTGCGACATTCAAGAAACAACTCGCCTGGAGGCAGATTTTGAGCTTAAGCTGACACTGAAGGTGATTGAGTGCAACCGCACGAAAATTTGAAACATAAACCTGAAAACGAGGAACTTACAACAACATAAACGCCAACGCGACGAAGAGCAACGCGGAAAAGAAAAAAATGGTAAAGAAACGCGGGAAATCAACAAAAACAAAGAAACGACGACTAAAATATGGAGAAAGAGCGTAAACAGAGGACTCATCACCGTGGAGTTAGACGTTTGCTTGCTACGCGCCAAATCGATACGCAGCCTGCTCCGGGGCCCTCCCATTTCTGCTCCGGATACCTCCCATTTTCTGCTCCGGATACCTCCCATTTTCTGCTCCGGATACCTCCCATTTTCTGCTCCGGAGGCCTCCCATTTCTGCTCCGGACCCCTCCCATTTTCTCCGGCGCGGCTCTTCCAAATTTGGCGGACTCGCGCCGGGCAAATTTCTCCGGCGCGGAGTCCGCCAAATCTGGCAGAGTCGCGCCGGAGAAATGGCGGACCTTTGCAGCAGGGCCGGAGAAGCCTCCCACTTGCCTGCCAGTGATGTCACCGCGATGGACCGCCCATTTGCCCCTCTCTCATTGGTCAACTGGGTCCGGCGCGACTCTGGCAGTTTCGGACTGTCCGGCGGAGGGGTCCCGTCGATTGTCTGAGTATGTGCCAACCTAATATATCTGTTCGACTGAGGCATCGCACCTTGCTCGGCTTTCGCGGGCGCTTGGCAAGAGTAGTCTGAATATCGAGGCTCTGCGGATGCGTATCGCGTGTACAAAGGGCACTGCACATGAGATAAGGTGTAGATGACTAAACTTCAGATGTTTTCAGGATTCGAAGATACACTAAACGATAAAGATGCACTAACCTCTTACCTTCCCGTCCATATAGTGATCAAAGAATCATTTATGGAATCAGATCCGAGTTTAGGCATAGGAAAAACCCCTATCCGGAATGTAGTGTCGACAATTTTTGTATTACAACAGAATGGACTACTTCATATATGAGGCGGTCGAATTTTGGTGACGACTGCGAGCGCTCAGTGCTTGCCAATGATTAGTAATTTTGAAGCTGCGCCTCTGGTTGGCTCTGCAAGGAAAATCCTATTGACAAGAAGAAAACTCTCGAAGGATTTGAGCTCAACTGTCTTTGCCAGCTGCTTTCACCGAGATCTTCAGTTAACACAGTGTGCTCCGCGCTTACAAATCTTGAAAAAAAAAGTATACAGGTTCAGAGAGTTTGTGGTATTGTCCACTTTTGATTCAATTCATGTGCTTCTGGTTGTCGTGCTCGCCAAATCTAGAGATCATCAAATCAACAAGAGAAAAGACATCACCTATTTATCTTGGAAATTAACCAATGCAGCTTCCCCATATCTTTCTCCAAATGGTGGTTTCCGAAGACATCATTTTCTATGTGAAACTTTGTACAAATTCTGAAAGCTTTTTTCTTCTAGTTTATGACATACGCTTTCCTTTTTGTGAGAGTTCATTTTGAACAACGTCCTTGGGAAAAATCTCTTTTTTTGCACTGGATTCATCGGTAAAAGCGCAATAGATCAATAAGAATTCCGCGACTATGCACATGGAAAAGGGTTCCAGAACTTTTTTGTATTGAAAGTTTTTGTTACCTTGCGCTGTAGCCACCGTCCTTACGCCCCATCCTGAACAACCTTGAACGCAAAGAACTGCCCTATACAGAGGAGATACTCGTACGTCTGGTAACAGAGGAGAGGAAGCTGTTTCCTTCTCCAGCTATAAAAAATTCCTTGTAAAAGACATTGTTTGTCTTATCAGAGATAATGAAAAATGAATTTGGTCTAAATTGGACTCTCGAAAGATAAAAAGGAAAACAACAACTAAGGCATCTCGTACATATCGTACCACAGATGGCCTGCCTAATGTAGTGTAGAACAGAATCGGTTCTCCGACTCTATACTCGCAAGCACTGATTTCTACTTAAACTGCATTAACACTCAGTCAAAGTGGGAACTTGAAAGGTGATGTACACCGGTAAATAGACCTTGATACGCTAATCTCAAATATACCTCAAACCAGTGACTTAGCATATTTACAAAAAAAAGCGAAAAAGATCGCTTACTAACGAGATCTGCGTGTACTTCAAATAACCATTATCTGTCCCGCGACTGTGTATCACTTTGCCCGCGTATAGCATTATTTGATAACGATCTCATATAACATTATGATTTGTTGGCCGTAGTTTTGAATACAGAAAAGAGGCTATAGTTATAAGAGTAGAAATCCATACAGTCACGGACACTGCTGATCCAACTGCCAAAATGTCTCTGGACATACACACTGTAGCTTGCTCTTTCGCGGATACTGAAAGTACACTTTTAAGATGAATTAGGTCAAAGCAAACACGAACCTTGAGCAGCGTAACTACGCAGAAATGATTCGTCTTCTACAGCAACTCGTCCGGTGACTTCAATAATACTGTCGTCATCTCGAATGGACGTAACTCGGCGACGCTGGCGGGGTGGAGTTGAGCCGCATTTCTAAGTTTCCAGTTTGTCAAAACCATCTACACCTTCTCTAATATTACTCGTGCTAACTAGTATAGTTTTCTACCACCCATGCGCGGAAGCACAGTATTGGTAGTTTACAGTGAATGACACATATGGAATGAAAGTCCTGAATTTCTTTTCAAATTCGACATCCACTATCTTCGAGTCATTTGTAACTTAATATGCCTAGTGCACACACTACACGCTAACTGACGAACTGCAAAACTAGAACATGCTCATTTCTTGTGATTTCTCCTTCTTTCCTTCTCTTGTTTTTATTGGTTACATGTTAGTTAGTAGAACACATTTCTACAGTTTGTTGGACTAGAAAATGTTTTACTGGGAAGTTTCAAGTATGAGTGCCGTCGCTAATAGGGTATAGTGTGCATTTTCACACATTAAGTTACAAATGACTCGAGGTTAGGTTGTGTAATAAGTCCGTTCGCATTTTTTGTCTCAATTTTTTCTCAGTATCTTACAAAGCATTTGGCAAAGTGTTTGTATGCATTCAGAAGCTTCGATTCTGTTCTACCAAGCTACCATCACTAGATTTCTAGCTGTTGAGAATTTGAATAAAAAATTCGACTGGAAACCAAAAAATCTGAGAGAGCGCAAATCCTATTTTCGACAACTATGTTACGCCGCGTCTCGAAGGGGTTTGAATGCTTAGAAACAGCTCGGAAATTTTGCGATGTGTATGATTAGAATACTGTAGCTCCCATAGATTACTTATAAGTGCTGAAATCTTTCAAAAACTCCTACTGTTATAGGTATGTTTTTTGATGTCTCTTCGGCGTCAACGTTAAGAATCTGAAGGCACCTTTGAGGGAGAGTGGTAGCCGAACAATCCAGAAATTGGAAGGCAACGCGGTCTATGATTGCTAAATCATCGAATAAATGGGTTATATATTCAAAAGTTCGGGGGGCACACACATCTTATTGTTAGACCAGCCGCTCTCTGCCGCTACGCGGCAGGTTCGGCTGGTACACGGCAGCTTCGCTTCCGGTAAATCTTTCGTTTTGTTCTTTATTGAAAGTGAAATGCAGAAAATTTGCCATTTTGCACGAACTACTTCGTTTATAACCGGCGCAGAAAGAACAACCGTGGACAATTTCGGCTTTGTCAGTTTATTTCGAATTAACACCAAGCAATGGATATTACGTGAACTGCGAAAAATCAATAAATTGAAAGGGTCGATCATTATCGTTGAACAAACGGCTCATTAAAACACATCCCACCCATGCGTTATGCCTGTCAAATTTGGTCTATATTCCATAACTCCTTCTATCGTTTTCAAGCAAAGATAATTTCTAGGCCAAAAGTGCAAAAATCCATAAGTCGATAGCAACAAACCGTGTGTATCGAACAAATGGCTTATTAACAACGGCGCACACCATGCATTACGTCTGCCAAATCTGCCTTAAATCCTATGATTCTTTTTCTATTCATCGTGAACGAACATAAAAAAGGGGTAAATCAAATCTATAAATCTAATCTACAGGGTGTCCCAAAAGTATGTATCGAACGTTTGATCGTTAATAACTCTCTTCCCAAGAAGTCTTTTGCCTTGCTTCAGGTACCGTTTTGTAGAGCTGGCTTCAACTTAGATTTGCACTATAGAACGAATCATTCATCTCTCTTCATTACTGTAGGATTACGGTAGAAACTTGAAACATATGGTGTTAATGTGAAAAAAGCTGCCGTTTCAAAATTTTTCAAAAAATCGTGAAAACTTGTGTAATAGGGTTTTTATGGACGCTGAGTTCAATAATTAACTATTCACAAGATTACGAAGCTTTCTAAACGGTGCAATCCCACTTTTTAGGAACATTGAAAAAATGGCCGCTACTTCTTACCTGGCATAACTCTTCAATGAAGCATCATAATAAGTTGGGAACTTTACAGTTATAATCAGCTACTCTAATTAGCCTAGTGTAAAAGTTTTAAGGCTGTTTTGTTTCCTTTCTGGGGCAAAATATGGCCTTTCATTGCTTAAAACCCTCCTTGAAGTTTCTACCGTAATCCTACAGTAATGAAGAGAAATGAGTGATTCTTTCTATACTGCAAATCTAAGTTGAAGCCAGCTCTACAAAACGGTACCTGAAGCAAGGCAAAAGACTTCTTGGGAAGAGAGTTATTAACGATCAAACGTTCGATACATACTTTTGGGACACCCTGTATATATCTAATCTATATCTTTTTGAAAAGTGGTAGTGCTGGCGACAACGAAGGTATATTACGTGCACCGAGGCAAGCTCTTCTTGGGCCTCTGGTGCTTCCTGGCCATGATGAAGACGGTTATGTGCAGTTACGGAGCTCCGCATTGTGCCACGTGCTCGAGTTCTTTGCGCAATGTGCATCTGCGGAATGGGGGTGGAGGTAGGTGCCGGTTCAAACATCACTTGTTGCCGCGAGTCAAGCGTAAAGATCGTTTGTGCTGTGTTCTCGTCGATTGGCTCGTATCCTCGTTGGCCAACCCGTTCTGGGCTCGCACCATGCCTGGATTGATCCAGTGTCTCCTGAAGGTGTCCGTTGCGCTGTGGTTCCTGATGCCGTCGACGAAGATGACGTTCACGCCTTGAGGCAAGACGCCGTTCTCGTTCCTCTGGTGTTTCTCGGCTACGACGAAGGGGCTACGCATGGCTTCAGAAGTGCGCCTTGCTGCGGCACGGGCTCGGGATCTCTGGGCAATATGCATCTGCGACTGAGGTGTGGAGGGGGACGGTCCATTGCTGGAGGGGGTCAATGTCGGCGCCATGGTCTCGGGAGTGACAGTAGTCGAAGGAGGTACGACCACGATGAAGGCATGGTATGAATGAACCGTAAGGCCGGGATAGGGTATTTTGATTTGGTGGTCATATTTGATCTCGCGGATGAACCATTCTGATTTTGTTGATGAGCCATGCAGTCGACGAAACCCGTTGCGAAAGGTGAATGCATAGTTAAATATCAGCTAGCCTCCAGAATGTGGCATACAAAAAATTAAGAAAAAAGGTTTAAAAAGTTTAGTGGTTAAAGTTGTAGATAATTTATTCGAATTGACCATGCTTAGCTATCCCTTCCTGCCAGTTTTCGCTCAACAAAGATTGAAACCCAAAATTCGATAAATCGATAACCCCTATGGTGAAAAAGCTTAGTGACAACCGCCCCACCCCAAGTTCATGTGTGCAAAGTTTCGTTTGAATTTAATGAAGTTTTCTGACATTTTAGGCCGGTCATAACGAAATTGCTAGGCAAAAAACGCAAAAAATCGATAAATCGATAACGCCACTCGGCGATTTTCGGTGAAAAAGCTTAGTGACACCCGCCCCACCCAGAAGTTCATGTGTGCAAAGTTTCGTCCAAATTCCTTGATTCTTTCTACCATTTCAGGCCGGTCATAAAAAAAGTGCTTATTCAAATATTATATAAGTATTGATATTGATATTGGCGAAGTGTTCCTCCAAAGTAAGTTACTTTCTTGTACTTTAAGTGAATTAGAAGTGGAATTTGGATTAGAAGGAAACGACCTGTGGACGCCTTGGTTGGAAAGCACTTAAAAACGTTCAGGTTGACATTATGCTAAACGTACACTTTCAATCTGAGTGTCCATTGGCCCGTCTCAGGTCCTCACGAGCCGCCTCACTTTGGATCACTCGACGCTTTCGCGAACGTTCGGGGCATTTTGCCGAGCTCTTAGCCAGTGAGATTAAGGAAACGGTATTCCTCACTTGGGAAAACATCGTAACTGCTAAGGGCGGAAAAGGCAAGAGACCCAAGCAGGGCGGCTCGCAAGGACCCGAATCGCGCCGACCATGACATTCAGATTGAAAGCGCCTATACAACGCTTACTAGCTAGCTAATTTAGTCTGTGTTTCTTTGATAAAAGCTACCGTAATTTTACAGGTGAAAACGCAACAAATCCCAGCCTGAGAGAACTCCATAACTTACTTCAGAGGAGCATTTCGCAGACATGAAAATATCATTCATTCTGTGACTCAGTTGTTTTAATAAGCCTAGTCATGTTACTTAGCGGGTTCATTGTTATTACCTATTTCGTCCAGATTAATTCACTCTTTGAAAACAGGGAAGAACAAGCTTAAACTTGTTAAGACAATGTCCGCAATGCGGTCTCGCGTTTCCTGGTCATAGGATAGATGATATGTAAGACAAGCGTTTTCAGCTCTATTCTGCACTATACATAACTATAATCGCACGGCGACCAAGTGCTCTTCCCTTGTAAAAGCAAATTGAATCTGGTTCAGATCCGAATATACGGGCAACTATAGCAGCTCTAGTGCTTACCATGTATAGTCGAGTCATCACACGCAGAGACAATGCACCATTGCGTACCCCGTCGGTGTCTCTCCGACCATGCGCACTATTTTCCTTCTAAGCGTCTGCCGTCCTTCTGTACGCTGTGTCTCAATCGACCGCAACAACGTTTAGTCTCTGCGTCAATAAATCGCCTATACCTAAGCAAAATTCTGCACGCATCAAATTTGCAAACTCATTATCGACAAGTGTAGCTAGTGCCTTAATCTAATTAACAGTAGATACCTCCAAGTTTTTCGAATATCGTAAAAATGTCAACAGATATCGTTGACTGTAGATCGCACGGACTGAACACCACTGCGGAGCACGCGCGGCGAGGTAAAACGCTTGCCCCAGCAGAATCTTGCTCTCGCAACATTTCAACCGCGCCGAGCGTAGTCCGCAACATTTAATTAGTCCGTGCGGTCAACGAATCGACGAGAAAAATAACTGAACTGTAACTTCCACTCTGTGCGAGCATATCTTTATTGCAAACGAAAGAATGCACTCCTGAAACTGCAAGAACAAAGGCATACAATAACTAACCGGCCCAATAACAATACATCAAAGATCGTAAACTTCAGAAACTCAGTTAACATCAGATAGTACGCGAGTGTCTTCACACGTGTCTGCTCGTTCTTATTGGTCCGAATGCAAGCCATCAGTCGACATTGTCCAAGGGCCTATTGGGCTGTGCTTGATTCTGGATTTCGCTGCGAATTTGCTCAGACAATTCTCGAGGAATAAACTCAAAACTTTCTCTCAGCTTCTGCTGTCAAAGAAATCGATTATAGAACTCTAATGATGGGAAAATATACAGACGCCTACCAAAAACGTCAGTCTTGTGCGAGATGGACGTGCGTGGGTGAAGGGATCGTTCATACCGCGCACAAAGGCGGACGAAGGCGGACGAAGCCGGACGAAGCCGGACAAAGCCGGACAAAGGCGGACGAAGGCGCGTATCTCGTCTCGTTTCTCTCAACACACACATACACACACTCACACACGCCTCGTCTCGTTTCTCTCGACACACTCACACATGCCTTCGTCCGCCTTTGTGCGGCTTCGTCCGCCTTCGTCCGCCTTTGTCCGGCTTTGTCCGGCTTCGTCCGCCTTCGTCCGCCTTTGTGCGCGGTATGAACGATCCCGAAGACACCCTCGACGATCAGCTGGCCTTGACAAATTTTGAACTTCCGCTGGGGAAAGAAACATATCCGTGTGTCTAAACGTAGTTCGACTCTAAACTCAAAATCCTAATGATGACATTGAACAGAAAAGCTAGCATACCCATCTGGATTTTGCATTGACACTTGAATGTCATTTTTCGTTAAAACAGCCTCGTTGGTTGTGAATAATGCTGCACCATTTGTTACAAAATAAGGAGGATCGTTCTTGGCTCTGATTATACAGTTGAACTGGAAAATTTTAGTTCTAAGTGCTTATAAAGGGAAATTTAACAAATAACAGTTCCAAGACCTCCCTTGACCTTGACTGTATCTGTAAATTTATAAACTGGTTCACCGATCCGTGGTCGAGCCGTACCAAGTAGATTTCTTAGTTGCTCGAGATCGCTGAAATAGGTGTTTTACTTGCGACCTTATGGAACTTGCAAACATGAAAGGGACCCGAGCCGCAGGAGGCCCCCCCCCACCTCTCCTAATGACGCAGAGATTAAAAAGAAAAAGTAGCCACAGACAAAAGCGACACTGCGCATCCTGTCGCCGTATGCCCAAAAGCGCCAAACTTCTTGAAGAGAGAATACGGAAATTGGGCGCATTTGGGCCTTTTTCTAGCCCAAACAGATGCGATCTGAATTTAAGCAAAACACACTCTCAACGAGTGGAAGTAAGACTATCCTATTATAAGTATACCAAAACAACTTGACCTACCGCGACCCCTCGAAAAGCGGCTCCAAGCTGTTCTCGAGTTTTGATCGCTCAATCTGAGCAACTATGTCCAGGGAAGCATTTGACTCATTACTTTGGAATGCCATGGCACTCATAACGCTGAAAGGAAAACAGTTTGGATAGAGCGTCGCTCCAGTATATGGGACACGCGATTGTGAATCCGTGAGTTTCGCTCATAATCCGGCTATATAGCTTATCCGAAGAGCTAAACAAATACTCCACTTTAAGCGTCATCCATGGTTATAGTGAGTATGTGATGTGCCATGCTTGGTCCGCTTAGTCCAGTTGATCCGCTCGTCATTGGTCAATTCCGTGAACTGACCAATAGCTAAGCTGTTGTTCACTTGATCCGCTTGATCCACTTCTCCGCTTCACTATTGGTCAGCTCACTGAATTGACCAATAAGCGGATCAAGCAAACCAACTGAATTAAGCTCACCAAGTATCGCGCGTGTCTTGCAAATCATTTCTTGAGACACGTAAGATAAGCACCAATAGATACACTAACTAATACCTAATTCACCAACATTGAAAACGACAAGCTAAAACTCAATGACGTGTTTCGACATCGCTTGCGTGCAATTTTTGAATCGTGTTCTTCCTACGGTAAGATCAACGCCGGACCCTATCCGGTAATATCATGGCCCTATAAATTCTGTTCTCTATTTCGTTTTTTTCTTTCTTCCCTTCTTTCTTCTTTGGCTGCTTTAAGTTTGCATGACCATCGCTTCTTCTATTCTTGTGGACTTCTAAGAATGACTTTTTCAAAGTCCAAATTTATCGATAGAATCCACACTAATCCTGGAGTCGAGAGTTTTGAGGCTCCATTAGTATCAAACCTTCAAATGATGTCAATCAATGAAATTCTTCTTCCAAAGGCGTATGGATTCTTATTGCAGAGGAACGAAATACGCTTGTAAGTCTGCCAAAATTACGTTCTACAGTCTAATGATTCCCCTCTCCATATGAAGTGATTGCGGTGCCGAAATTCTGCGCAAAACTTGTGCTCGCAAGATGACGGCACTACTGGCATGACTATTTGTTTACGCGCAAATGTTGGCACAAAATTTCGGTGCCACCAGCACACTATCTGGCGGAAAATCTATTAGACTATGAAAATGAATACGACAGCAACCTCGCCAACTACCATTTATTGAACATAAACAATTTCTTCAAGCGAACACCAGACCTCAGTAATACACATGCTCTGCTCGATCTTGTCGTTATTTATTCCTACTTATTAATCCGCGATATCCAAATGCGTGCTATAGGGATCTTCTTCTCTATCATGTATCTCGTTACGAATCTGCACAGCCAAATCGCGAGGAATGAATTCAAAATCTTCCATCAGTTTCTCCTGTCAAGAACCAATTGTAGAATTTCATGGAAATACCAAACGAGTGGATACAGACCAGTAGAGTTGGTTCCAAGTTAGATGGAAGTGGCCGCGTAAAGGATCCTTCTCCAATAATTCCTCTTTCACAAATCAAGAACCTCGCAAGGAGGAGTGCCTCTCTATTACTCGTGAACTCGCACCTTACCTGGGTCACCTCTTTTGACTCACTGTAGGCATATAAATAGCGTGGCATACATGGCCATTCATTAGCGCTCGCTCAGGCACTTGTATGCTGTCGGCATTTTCAAAAAGGTAAGTGTTTGGTTTGGCAGTCTAGTCAGTGAACAGGCAGAGTCCTAGAACTTTGCTTGTGGAGCTGCAGAGACGTTTGATCGGATAGGTTGCAGATCGTTTTGCTCATTCCAGGCTCTGAAGAAGGCGATCTGCCGAAACGTCAGCCACTCAATAAATAATTGTTACCAATCTCGAGTGCGGCTTACATAAACAACTACAATATTCATAAATGCATTTGACAGGATTTCTTCCTCCACCCAAAATTCAGATAAAATATCCCAAACATGCAGAAACGTCACTTTTTTCGGAAAAATATTTTTTGTAAATTTGGTATTTTCCGATTATCAAGGAACATACAAAGGTATGATCATAAGGTCACCCATACTAATTGTGGGAGGAGCTGGACCCATACTAATTGTGGGAGGAGCTGGGGGTAGAGTCTTATCATATTTGAAACACCTTATTCTGAGCGAAGATTCGGTTTTAAGGTACAATTTATTCCGATTGTGGCTCCTACTCCACATGATTTTTGACTTGGGTGGATCTCCGGTAGTCACTTTGTAGAGCTTGCTTTGCCCTATCGAAGACTGCCCTAAGTGTGCACAGACAACAAAAGCAGCTTATACGGAAATTAGGCCTTCGATTCAAATGGCTTGGAGGCTGAAAGGGAGCTTTGTGACCTAGTTAAGGCCGCTCATGCCCGCTACGCGGTCTGCGTCTCTTTCGCACGTGTGCTCTCTGATCATTACCTAGCCACCGTTAGGTCACGATTCCAGCCGCCAAGCCAGTTGAATCAAAGGATACTTTGGGCCAACCTAATACTTGTTCCAGCGACATTGTACCATTAAGAGGTTTACTAGATGGCGCTCGATCGCGACAGGGCGAAATCACTTTCACAGACACAGTCAGTTGCAAGGTGGGTTGAATTGGTTATGAGTAACATTGTGGCTAGAATTGCATATTATTGATTTTTCAGCTTCATACAATCAAATGTTTCAATACTAGAAGGAATCTGAGGCTCTTCGAATTCGGAAGTGGCGCAACAATGGTCACATCTAACGAGGCCGTATTTATACTAGAAAGCAAGAGCATGGCAGTGGATTTCGAGTATGTCTAGTTTGTTTTCCCTTTTGAACTGTCTTCCGATTTTTTTAATGAATTCAGATACGAACTACACTTGGATAAACGAATATGTGTCTACCCCCAGCGAAAGTTCTTGATTTGTGAAAGAGGAATTATTGGAGAAGGATCCTTTACGCGGCCACTTCCATCTAACTTGGAACCAACTCTACTGGTCTGTATCCACACGTTTGGTATTTCCATGAAATTCTACAATTGGTTCTTGACAGGAGAAACTGATGGAAGATTTTGAATTCATTCCTCGCGATTTGGCTGTGCAGATTCGTAACGAGATACATGATAGAGAAGAAGATCCCTATAGCACGCATTTGGATATCGTGGATTAATAAGTAGGAATAAATAACGACAAGATCGAGCAGAGCATGTGTATTACTGAGGTCTGGTGTTCGCTTGAAGAAATTGTTTATGTTCAATAAATGGTAGTTGGCGAGGTTGCTGTCGTATTCATTTTCATAGTCTAATAGATTTTCCGCCAGATAGTGTGCTGGTGGCACCGAAATTTTGTGCCAACATTTGCGCGTAAACAAATAGTCATGCCAGTAGTGCCGTCATCTTGCGAGCACAAGTTTTGCGCAGAATTTCGGCACCGCAATCACTTCATATGGAGAGGGGAATCATTAGACTGTAGAACGTAATTTTGGCAGACTTACAAGCGTATTTCGTTCCTCTGCAATAAGAATCCATACGCCTTTGGAAGAAGAATTTCATTGATTGACATCATTTGAAGGTTTGATACTAATGGAGCCTCAAAACTCTCGACTCCAGGATTAGTGTGGATTCTATCGATAAATTTGGACTTTGAAAAAGTCATTCTTAGAAGTCCACAAGAATAGAAGAAGCAATGGTCATGCAAACTTAAAGCAGCCAAAGAAGAAAGAAGGGAAGAAAGAAAAAAACGAAATAGAGAACAGAATTTATAGGGCCATGATATTACCGGATAGGGTCCGGCGTTGATCTTACCGTAGGAAGAACACGATTCAAAAATTGCACGCAAGCGATGTCGAAACACGTCATTGAGTTTTAGCTTGTCGTTTTCAATGTTGGTGAATTAGGTATTAGTTAGTGTATCTATTGGTGCTTATCTTACGTGTCTCAAGAAATGATTTGCAAGACACGCGCGATACTTGGTGAGCTTAAAGCTGCACCCCGCTGAGTTGCCAACCAAATGCTGAAGGATGAAAAATGAAAGCGAGGAAGAATGTTCTCAAATTGATCTGGGTTAAAACCCAGCATTTCCGCTGAGTATAAGTTCAAGTCTCCTTTAGCTGTCATCAAGTCCTTCACCACCTGTCTACTGTTTTCTATAGCCCATGAGTGTTTTGTACGTGTTCTCTGCCAGATTACATTGCAGTAGTTATTGAAGTGCTTTTTTAGATGTGTTAGTATCAGCTGAAGAGTAGTGGTAAGAGGTTTCAAAGAACTTTTTCTAGCTCCTGTTATGTATCTAAACTTAATGGGATTTTTATGCATTTTCGGGATTCCATAAATTCTAGGTATCTCCTTAAATTTGTCTTCGAACTTGATGTTCAATCCATTAAGTATACTTCTGTGCCTATTCAAAATATCTTCTTCTATTAACGAAGTGTTTTCGTACGTGCTCCCTTCTGTATTAGTTTGTTCCATTTCTCTTTTCATCATTTGTACGTAAAACTTTTTGCATGTAAAACTAAAATTAGCACTTGCTTTATCTATGGGGCTTATAATAAAGTGTTTCTGTATTTTTCGTAGTTCTTCTATGTCATACTGATCTTCTTCTATTTCTTCCTTATCGAACATATTGTACAATTTTGATTTGATTCGGTTCTTAATATTTTCATTCAAAATATGCTTCAATAATTCACTATTGGATGTGTTATCTTTCAACTTGCGCTTATATTTCACGACTAGTTGAGAAGTTAAATCTCTTATAACCGAAAACACATCTTCCTTGTTGAACAAGGAGTGTTTCCTAAACTTTGTCCCTTTTCTTAAAACATTTCTCAATTTGACGTCTTTCACGAATTCCAAATCCCCTGTGCATACATGCCCATGATATGCATCAATGAATTTAACATGTCTTATACATTCGCATTCACTTCTTTCAATGGAAGTAATGAGATTGTAGTCTAGCTTTCTTAGGAAGCTGTTATAATTGTAAACTTCCAATCCAAGGGGCCTGCTCAAAGTATAGCGTATTGTTACTTTAATTTCTTCTAGTTTTGTTATGTCTTCCACATTGATGTGTTCCTTTATTATGTTCTGTATTCTCTTGCTATTGCATAAATTAGCTAGTTTGAGTCTGTCCATTATGTTTCCCAAGTAAGGTATGATAATATTTATATTTTCTTCAGTTTGTTTTGCACGTACCTTATTTTCCCAAAAAGGAGTTGCTATCAGGGCATATATTTTGTACCTATGTTCGAATGTCAAAGTGTTAAATTCTGGGGTGAAAGAATAGTTAATGAGTCTGTTTATGTCTTCTTTGTTCAATGTTCGAAAGTATCTAAAAAGTGCATTACTGCGTAAATTACTTATTGTTGTTAAAATTTCTTCCGTTCTATCCACGCATGTACTTTTTCTTCTCGATCTTCTCTTCCTTCCCCTTTGTCTCGTTCTTTTAACTGGACACACGAAGTAGGGATGTCCTTTCTTTTCTAACGGACTGATATTATCCGATATATTTCCAAACCCTTTTATCTGATCATTAAATCCAAAAGGATATGCTGTGACCATATATTGGATCCATTGTAGTTCTTTATCTCTTAATATCCTTTTAATATTATCTGTTTCCGTGACATGGTCCAGTATTTCGATACTTATGTTATCGGGGTTATGTCCTGTATCTTTGAAGTGATTTACCATAAATGTATGTAAGTTGTACTTACGAAAACTTCTTTTATGTTGATTTATTCTTGATCTTAAGGTTTGTTTTGTTTCGCCTACATATTGAAGATCGCATGTCAAGCATGTGATCATATACACTACATTTGTTGAGTTACAATTGGATATATCAGGCTTATTTGTTTTGAAACAATAATGTGTTGTAGAGCTTTGTGTGATATTATCGAATTTCATCCTGTCACATATATAACAGTTTCTTCTGTTGCATCTTGTTCCTGTATTGTTATTGGACATAGTATTATTAACTATTCTTTGCCGGTGGTCTGTGGTATTACGGTTAGACAAGGACAACACTAAACATGGATTATGATGCATTTGATTTTTGTTGAGGGACCTGTTATCCATTGAGCCGGAGGCGGTCCATCCTGGACTCTTATGCAGTTTCCTTCAAGAGGTTGTTTCCTCTTAGGTTAGGGCAAACCGCTTCATCGCTGGGGAGCGCTACCCGTGATGCAAACTGCACTGGATAGTTGGCGCCCAACACCACGCCAGGGTTCTCCCAAATTATAAAATTAATTATGTACAATTGAAGGTCTATTAGCACAGCGATTATTTAATCATCATTAAACTATCCCGGTTTTTCGGGCTCAAGGTCTCTAGTTAAAAGCAAGGTATGTTTTATGATCTTGTTATTATTTATCTATTCTTGTGAATGTATTTATGTAATAATTACATTTATGTACTTATTTGCTTCGTATTCATATATTAACCATAAATATATGTACATATTTGTGTGTGTGTATGTGTGTATGTGTGTATGTGTGTGTATGTGTGTATGTGTGTGTATGTGTGTGTGTGTATGTGTGTGTATGTGTGTGTATGTGTGTGTATGTGTGCGTATGTGTGTGTATGTGTGTGTATGTGTGTGCATGTGTGTGTATGTGTGTGTATGTGTGAGTATGTGTGTGTATGTGTGTATGTGTTTGTATGTGTGTGTATGTGTGTGTATGTGTGTGTATGTGTGTGTATGTGTGTGTATGTGTGTGTATGTGTGTGTATGTGTGTATGTGTGTATGTGTGTGTATGTGTGTATGTGTGTGTACGTGTGTGTATGTGTGTATGTGTGTGTATGTGTGTGTATGTGTGTATGTGTGTATGTGTGTGTATGTGTGTGTATGTGTGTGCATGTGTGTGTATGTGTGTGTATGTGTGAGTATGTGTGTGTATGTGTGTATGTGTTTGTATGTGTGTGTATGTGTGTGTATGTGTGTGTATGTGTGTGTATGTGTGTGTATGTGTGTGTATGTGTGTATGTGTGTATGTGTGTGTATGTGTGTATGTGTGTGTACGTGTGTGTATGTGTGTATGTGTGTGTATGTGTGTGTATGTGTGTATGTGTGTATGTGTGTGTATGTGTGTGTATGTGTGTGTATGTGTGTGTATGTGTGTGTATGTGTGTATGTGTGTGTATGTGTGTGTATGTGTGTGTATGTGTGTGTATGTGTGTGTATGTGTGTGTATGTGTGTGTATGTGTGTGTATGTGTGTATGTGTGTGTATGTGTGTGTATGTGTGTGTATGTGTGTGTATGTGTGTGTATGTGTGTGTGTGTGTTTGTGTGTGTGTGTGTGTGTGTGTGTGTGTGTGTGTGTGTGTGTGTGTGTATATGTGTATTAATTGCTATAACAGAAGTGATTACTTGTAATTATTGGAACAAGGGACCAGCTCAACATATTTAGTTATTTTAATACCGGCGCTTTTTACACTTAATTGAGAAATGCGTTTGCTAATATTGAGGTATATGTGCAAGATAAGTCCATCCACCAAAAGACCTTACGTCTACTCTCACTCTTAATGCGAGAGGGTGGATATATGTATGGTATCTCAGCGAGAAATATTTTCCATATTCAACAAGCAAAGAATATTCTAATTGAAATTTGTGCATCCTCTTACCCTTAATGTAAGAGGACAGACAAAGCAGATATTAGTAGTACCAATAGTACTATTGATAGTATTATACCAGAAGCTTAACTGATTTGATTAAAGATTTTTATCTGTACAAGCACGGAATATTTTGTTTATGGAACTTCCCCTACTTCGTAGGCTTTTTTTTAGAAAGATTTTAGGGTTAAACATTTCCGGGATATTGTATTCTGTTTATTTCATGTCTCTTTCTTTGTGTTATATGATATGAAATGTCATGAAAAGTTATTGATTCACTGGCTTGGACCTCCACCCCCATCCTGGAATATTTGTCCCAAAACAACCATTGTTTTATTGTGCAAAAGCACAGATTTATTACTATAGAAGGGAAATGAATATAATAATAATAATGGTGATTTGGGTACAAACACCCCAAGACCACATCGTAGAGAATCCAAACCATAGAATCTTACTAATGAATGACTGCCGTTTAAAAGCGAAAATTGTAAGTTTTGTTACATACAATTATGTCATTAACGGTCTTTCGCTTCTTGCCTAAAATTATAGCTTTATGCATTAACTTTCTTTCTCGGATTACCCTATTCATGACTGGATTTAGATAAAATTAACACTTGTTAAAATTACTCAGTATTTATTGTAGTGTATGTCTAATACTGATGCATACCATCGATCTATTCTTATCTAGTAATAAGATTTCAAATTCTACTATGTTAGCTGTATCCATCAAAAAGGCCTTATGCCTTACCCCGCTCTTAATGCAAGGGGATGGACCAGCTTAATTTGATATTCATATAGGTATATTACTCTATTTCTTATGTAACCTCATAGACTGCAGGCTGTATAGATCAAATTTGTCGCGCCATAATTTGAATATTTGAAAATTTGAAATTTGGCGGCATAGGTCGCTTAAAAGCTCGAGCAATATGCTATTCCTTAACAATGTCCGACGTACATGCTACCGTGTGCTCAACTCTGAGCTCTATTTTATCCCCCGACTCCAACGTCAGTGCCCCCCTTTCTAATGCACTTATGGCCCTAGGGACGGCCATTGACCATGTCCAAAAGGACATGGAACAAATCCGCCGTATGGCACGTACCAATTGGCTCATGGTAAGTTGCTAAAATTGACAGTATGTAAAAATTATTTATATCATTTAAGGTCATTAATATGCCGTTGCCTTTTGGCATGTCGAAATGTCAAGCGTTACAGCAGCTCATGGCCTCCCTAGGGTACGACAAGCCGTTATTTGACTGCGAGCGAGATTTGCTTGCAAGCGACCTGCTCTATGTTAATAGAGCAGGTCTACTTTGTAACATGGCGGTAAGCAATTTCAAACAAAAATAATTCAAATGCTTCGAACATTGTTGTTTAGTTCTTTGTCCCGCAGCGCCATTACGAATATTTCATGTCTGCACCCTTTCAGCGAAAGTTGGTCGCCCACAATCAAAAATTGGCGCGAGGTAAGTAATCGCAAGGAGGAGTGCCTCTCTATTACTCGTGAACTCGCACCTTACCTGGGTCACCTCTTTTGACTCACTGTAGGCATATAAATAGCGTGGCATACATGGCCATTCATTAGCGCTCGCTCAGGCACTTGTATGCTGTCGGCATTTTCAAAAAGGTAAGTGTTTGGTTTGGCAGTCTAGTCAGTGAACAGGCAGAGTCCTAGAACTTTGCTTGTGGAGCTGCAGAGACGTTTGATCGGATAGGTTGCAGATCGTTTTGCTCATTCCAGGCTCTGAAGAAGGCGATCTGCCGAAACGTCAGCCACCCAATAAATAATTGTTACCAATCTCGAGTGCGGCTTACATAAACAACTACAATATCTACGCCATGCCGAGGTTCATAGAGAGTCGAACAATCCATTTATGAATACTACTAAGTGTCTATTGTATGATAAGCAAATTGGAGGTCCGCAAGAATCTTTTGGAAAGTCCTATTTTTTAGCTATCAAAGTTATGTCCTCCTGTCAAAATTGGTTAATTACGAGGTTTAGCTATAGGTCTGTGCCTGATCCTGAAGGTCGGTGAGTTTGCGGCCATCATGCAAAACGACAGAATTTTTTTCTTTCTCTTGTCAAACGCTTTTCCGCCATTGAAATAGCTTTTAATCACTAGAAATGATTTTGAGAAGTCCGGGATTTGCCTTCTTGAGGTTTGAGGCTTTGTAGCGTCTTAAGCCTGATTTAGGGTCTTGCTACTCGCATTCGATTTAGATCAGATTGGAATCGGGAGATTCTAAAAAGCAATACCCCCAATAGTACATATACAGCTCCAATAGTATCCATGAGTCATAATTGTTATTTGAGTGACAATCATGAATCAGATCCAAGTTTTTGATTACAGTGAATGCAGCCTACCGAGAGCCCTCGAAAAGAGGTTTTAATCTGTTCTCAAATTTCAAGCGTTCAATTTGAGCGATGATGTCTAGGGCCTGTGAATCATTGTTTTGAGATGCCATAACATTCGCAGCGCTGGAATAATAATGGAAAAACTACTCTATACAATACGGCACATCATAAGAAATGAATGCAATTAAACTTTCAGCATCACTTATTTGCTCAACATTAGAGGAAGAAAAGAATGTGTAGTGAAAAAGTAGCTTTGCGCATCTTATTCGTGTCCTCAACACAAATTGTGCATATATAAGACCCAGAGACAATTGCTATTCCAAGACTACTTACAAAAAATTCGGGAAAAAGGTAGTTGTGCCTCGAACGTCCTGAAAAGTGTTTGAAGAGAGAAATCGCGCGATTCATTTTCTTATTTATTTTCGACCATGACGTAGGAGGGGGGGGGGAGAGAAGATGAACAGATGAAAGATGAACCTGATTAGTAAGCGAGCTAAAAACTTTTTAAGATTAAGACAGTTTTCAAATCCCGATATGATGAGAATGTATGATAAGGGTGCGCGCAAGCAAAGCGAAAACATCACGAGTAATGGGAAATGCATTTCCGATAGTTGAGATTACGCGTTTTCAGAAAATAAAATATTTTCTAGAAATTAAATGAGCGTATTGAGAGATTCAGTGGTGATTCTAAATTTACTCAACATTTCCTTATCTTTACATCCTCAGAAGCTCGACATCGCAAGAAATTTGAGCTTATATCATGTTTCCTTTCATAAAAAACACCTTCTCTGCTTTCTACGAAGAAAAATCTAATTTTTAGGAGCAATGCTTCCATATTTATTTTGTCAAGTGCAAAATGGTAACTTTGACGGCAGTGCATACAGTGCCGACAACAACTTCGCGTGAAAAGCCGTAGAACGCAAACTGAAGACTCTACGCGGCATCACTGGTAAAGGCTACTGCTTGACGAAGCCGCAGAAGCAGTATTAGTTGAGCGGGCGCGAACGCGACGCGCGCGTATCCTCGCCGTTGTACATCCTGCGCCTCGTACTTTCTGCGGCTAATAAAGCCTGTTAGTGCCCAAAGATATTGCGCCTTCGCAGCCGTTACCTATTCATATGCTAAATATTTTCTAAATGCTACAGAACACAGGAAAAACTTGCACCCAGAGGTGCGATGGGGGGAGCCGGACCCATCAAAAGTGAAGGTGGTCCCAGCTAACACTGGCCGGCCAAAACTGAAGGTGGTAGTGCCAGACACTCACCTCCCAAAAATGTCGACGGGCGGGGGGGGGGGGGAGGACGGACGAACAGAGCTATCTTTCTAGGTCGAACTGTGACCCAACGGCCCTCTTTAGGGCCACAGATACGATAAATATTAAAAATATTTATAAATTTTATTCATAAAAATTTAAAATAGACGTGTTTAGTAAATGGCGTATTTGGAAGTAAAAGTTTGTTGGACTGTACGGATTTTATTAAGTAAATTTTGTCATAACATACTGCAAAGGAAGCAGGTCGATCTAGGCAGTAACGGCCGAGAACCAGAATTTTGAATATTTAAATAATGAAAAATCATGCAAAATTTCTACTGTTATACATCTGTTGTTTGAAGATGTCAGCAGTTGCGACTTCATAGGTTTCAAAGAGTAAATGGTGCTCTATCATGTAGTGAAAGAATCGAATGGATTTGAGAGGTAGTCGTTGAAAACCAGAATTCTAAATATTTACGCCATTTTTGCGTGTTTTTTGACAGTTGACAGTTAAATTCATATAAATCTTGAACGTGAAAGTGTGTGATGTTGCGACTTCATAGGTTTTATAGAATAAGGTTCGCATTATCAGGATGTATCTTAGCCGTCCCGATCCATTGAAACACCTCCGAGATCCAGAGTCTTGAAAAAGCAGGTAAAAAAGCGCTTTTTGAATTTCAACAGCGCATAACTTTTTTAGAACTGCATGAATCATGTTGCGACTTCATAGGTTAGATTCTTCTCATCAAGAGCTTTCAGATGATATATAATATGTGGGGGTCTAGAGCCTCCTACGAATTATGCCCGTGGGGGGGAGCCTTTTCATACCAAAGTCTCCCCCTAGCCCACTTTAATGTATTGGAGGGGGGAGACTTTGGTATGAAAAGGCTCACCCCACGGGCATAATTCGTAGGAGGCTCTAGACCCCCACATATTATATATCATCTGAAAGCTCTTGATGAGAAGAATCTAACCTATGAAGTCGCAACATGATTCATGCAGTTCTAAAAAAGTTATCCGCTGTTGAAATTCAAAAAGCGCTTTTTTACCCGCTTTTTCGAGACTCTGGATCTCGGAGGTGTTTCAATGGATCGGGACGGCTAAGATACATCCTGATAAGGCGAACCTTATTCTATAAAACCTATGAAGTCGCAACATCACACAGTTTCACGTTCAAGATTTATATGAATTTAACTGTCAACTGTCAAAAAACACGCAAAAATGGCGTAAATTTTTAGAATTCTGGTTTTCAACGACTACCTCTCAAATCCACTCGATTCTTTCACTACATGATAGAGCACCATTTACTCTTTGAAACCTATGAAGTCGCAACTGCTGACATCTTTAAACAACAGATGTATAACAGTGGAAATTTCGCATGATTTTTCACTATTTAGATATTCAAAATTGTGGTTCTCGGCCGTTACTTCCTCCATCGACCTACTTTCTTCGCTGTACGTTATAACAAAATTTGCTTGATGAAATCCGTACAGTTTCGCTAAGTTTTACTCCAAATACACCATTTACTGAACACGTCTATTTTAAATATATATGCCGCCGTATACATAAATATCTCCTTTCAATAATCTTTTTTGCGTTTGTTTTGCTTATTTTCCTTCTTTATCTCCAGCGAAAAATTTTTTTATTCCAAAAGTGAAGGTGGTCACCCTGTACCAGCTCAAAAGTGAAGGTAGGGGGAGAATCGGCTCCCACTATCGCACCTCTGCTTGCACCTACTTCCACAGTTCTATTCATAAGATAGTAGAAGGAGGGTTATTTGGAAATTCAAAAAAGCCGAAACTCGCTGTGAACTCATCCATGCAATGTCTGCTGATGAATGGTTTCACGGTATTTCCTATAAGGCTCCGCCCTCGCTGGCTAGAAGCTAGCGATGTGCTGCGCGGAAAAAGATTTGACAAGAAGAAAAGAAAAAGCTAGCAGAGTCTTTCGCAGATGTTCTCGCCAGATGCGTTCGTCGAATGCTTCGATCACTGTGAAAAGCTTAAATTTTGGCAAAAATCAAAATGGGTCATGAATTTTAGCAATATCTCTATTAAGTCTACTCTACGTGAGAATGAGTCAATGTGGGAAAGAGAAGGACATTTTTTTACAGAAATCGAAAATTGTGGCAAAGATTTTCATCCTAGCTCTTTATCAATCTGAAACAAGCGATTTTCCTTAATCTGGCATCCCCTATCAGAGGGAGAACACATTCCAGCAAGGCTTTTCATATTCTTAGAAGTTTTCATAGATTGATGAATTGTTAATAAATTGCTGTTATTCGTAAGACAAGACAGAATCAAAGAGAAGCCCAAGATAGAACCTGATAGGACAAAACTAATGGAAAATAAAGGAGAACCACGAAATGAGATCCCTGAGAGATTCTCAAATTTATTATGGCTCTCCACATAAGAAGTAACTTTTTTTATTAAAGATTCGAAAGAAGACTTTCTGCTAGATGGAAGGATTTTTTCAAGACTAGTAAACCATCAATCCCAAAGATGCTAGATTTGCAGGCTTTGCAGGTTTGCTGGTGGAACCGCGCTGTTTCCCACAATTTTACCTTATCTGAATAGGCAGGATGTGTACAGATTATTGAGGAGAACAATTACTCCTCAAACTTGGAAATATGTTTTAAATATGTTTTCTGTTGGAGGAACATATATGCAGTCTTGGCCTCACATTGCTCCCCCTCGTCCAATTGTTCTAAAGGCTGCTGCATGACGAAGGCGCACAAGCAGCATTAGGTGAGCGGGCGCGAACGTTGCGCGTGCGTATAGGGGCCTGCAGGATCGCGAGAGTCGGACGTGCGTACGGCCATTGCGCCGCGCACGTCGTATGTCACTGGGTCGTACTCGATTTAGGCTGGATAGGTGAGATTTTTTTGTTTTTCTTCTCATTTCTCGCCTTCTTTTCTTTTCAGGCGGCGAACATATGTTGGTGCAGAGGAGTTTAAGATCTAGATCAAGGTGAGGTGCAGGATTATGCTCAATACGGGCCAATATTGTGGACTTTTCACCCTTGCTTTGAAGAATGTTGAGTTTTCTGTTCTGGCTGTCCAAATATGTTCGATTTTTCGTCCTGCCTGCCCGGTTACGAAACTCCGTTTTATTTGCAACGTCTGTTCTACCTCATCTTGCATCATGCGCGTCATCACAATCATAATCATTGTCATCTCATCATCATCATCACAAGCAATATGCAAGATAAGGTAGAATAGACGGTAGAAATAGAACAGTTTGCTGTAACAGGGCAGCCAGGACAGAAAATCCAACATATCAACCAGCAGGCATGGAAGGTCTGCAATATTGAGTCCGTATTGAGCATAATCCTGCACCTCACCTTAATTCAGATCTTAAACTCCTCCGCACCAACATGTGCTCACCGTCTGAAAAAAAGAAGGCGTGAAATGTAAAGAAAAACAAAAAAACTTACCTATCTAGCCTTAATCGACTACGACCCAGCGATATCAGGCGTGCGCGGCGCAAAGGCCGTACGCGCGTCCGACTCTCGCGATCCTGCAGGCCCCTATATCTTCACTATTGTAAATCCTGCGCCTCATGCGCTCTGCGACCAATAAAGCCGCGTTCGCGACCAAAGATATTGCGCCTTCGTCATGCAGCAGCCTATACGTGTCCAAGCTACTCGTTTCCTGCCTTCTCCAGCCAGGTTGCTGGAAAAAAACTTGAAATTCTGCATCGGCGCACTTATGCATCAGTTTCTTGTGGAGAAGGATGTTATAGAAGGAACATGATTGTGGCGGGCGCGCCTGAGCCCATGCTCAACCCCGGTTATATGATGTCACGTAGCAACGCCAGTTGTCCCTTAGCGCATGTGATGCAAGAATTTACCAGCTACCAAGGAAGTTGAACTTGCTATACTCGACGGTGAACCGAACATAAAACGTCACAGTACATTGCCAGCTACCTGTCCAGAGAAGGCATAATGGACGTATGATAAGGGTTCATCTAAATCTTCTAGGTAACGTGTGAGATGCATGGTTGATCTAACTTTCTCGCCCGATAGAGTGAGACAATCAACCGCCTTACACCTCAGTGTCACATCAGGTGGCAAGTACAGTCTCTGGCAATTACACACTTTCCTTGGCCTAAACTACGCATCCGCAACGTGAGGGCCTTACTTTAGACTCCATTTCGATGATACCAATATGAATGTCCGTGCTATACGCGCGCGGATGTGGGTCAGCACTGATGAGGCGATTGCGCGATGTAAGAAGGACGGCGCCAATGACAGGCTGTGATGACACCCATCATAGCCAACACCGCTTTTTTTGGAGATTTACTATGATCAAAAATGATTCAAGTAACTAAAGATTTCAACTGTGGAGTAGAATGCCACTATATGTAGATGGTAACAGGATACGAGTACTCGGTTTAAAATTGCAGTAATGACAGAAAAAAATACGCACTCCATATGCACCAACTTCATTGCACTTATCCAATATCAAAGTAACAACTAAACGAGTGTTTGTTAACAATTATAATGAGTGAATAGATAAGGAAAAAAGAAAAAAAACGTAACTTAAACTAAAATTTTTTTACAAAAATCCTAAATAATATAATGCAACTTCAACTCAAAATTTTTACAAAAAACCGAGACCGGGGGGCAGGCGTTATGGAGCAAAGCTAGGCCGCATTACCTTACGGTGTATAAAGAGGGACTTTTGGCTTGCGTCGCTCTAATTGCAGCCGCAGGAGTAGCGCACTTCTGCTCAGATTGAGTTAACCTAGCTACGCTTCGAGATTTGTTCGAGAACTCCGAGCTCGAAGTTTGTAATTGTAAAAGAAACCAAAAAATGAAAGAGATGAATTTTGGGGTGAATCAGAGGCTGAATTCGAGTTTAAAAGTGTTCAAGAGGAATGGAACACGAGAACACGAGAATTAGTAGAGAGAAGGGACAGAAGCTTTTCCCGCTTGGTTTTTGAAAAGTTGATTTTCCTCTTACTTCCTCTTGTGTTCTGCTTTGCAGACAATTCTTCCTCATTCTATTTCTGACTCATCCTAGAAATCCATTTATCTTCCACGTTTTGATCTCCTTAATTATGGAGGTATATGTGTTGAGTAACGCTAACTCAACGGCCCTCAGGATATACCGCAGGGGAATGCGGCCTAGCTTTGCTCCATAACGCCTGCCCGGTCTCTGGTAATGGCCTACAGTACTATTCCATATTCTCTCTCGGTTTGCTGTTCGTTATAATGTCTATAATTTGAAGAATTTTGTAGTGGGCCTCCTGCTCGGGCAGACGGCGGAGTACCATCTCTACATATTTACCTAAATGAAGCTTTCACTGATTTGGTAAAAAAGGGGCTGAAACCAACCAAAATGAATGAATCTGTCTTCGACAGTTACACTGCGTGCCCTTACCATGGTTGCATCTGATGTCCGGCCAACTGTATCTGGAGCAATCTTATATATAAAGCTGAATTTCTGTCTATGTATGTACCTATGTATCGCCGATTCGTTGACCCCGCGAACTGCTCAAACGCTGAGGATGACGCGCGGCGCGGCTGGATTGTCGCGGGAGCACCTTGTACAATGGCGAGTTTGTACTGGGGCAAGCGTACCTCGCGGATGCTCCGCAGTGATGTCCTCCGTGTGGTCAACGAAACAACCTCAGACACTCGCTGCGACGGCGCGCGCGCCAAGTGCGCGCGGGCGCTCATATCCCCCGCCGCCGGCCGTCAAATGGCGCGCGCGCCGCGAGTAAATGTTGCGCGCGCCGCGAGTATACGGGACGCGCGCCACACGATAATGGCACGCCGCTCGCACGGTATGAATATTGCCATTCGCCAATTGCCAATTTCAAATTTTTTAAGAATTCCAATTTTCAATTTGAATTCAAACTCGGCACCTACTCGCAGTGCGTATGAGGACTGACTCTCAGTGGAAGAACTAGAAGAATCCCACTTGTGTTAATGAGACAACTCCATTGCGAAAAAGCGATAACCTCAATGAATTAGCGATAAAGCATTCAAAACACTGCGTCGTACTTCACGCGGGTATCGCTTGTGCTTACAGCGTGTGGGAATGCGGAAAATATCATGGCACGCGGCTCACTGATAAATTGCGCGCCGCTCGCACTCTCAACTAAAGCGCGCCGTTCGCGATACAGTGCTGTAATGGCGCGCGCGCCGCCGCGCCGAGTGTCGAGTAGGCGCGCCGGCGGCCGTAATAAGGCGCGCCGCTCGCTGGCTGCGAATGATGGCGCGCCGCTCGCACTGCAGCCTCAACTATGGCGCGTCGCTCGCACTGCTGCTTCAATTAAAGCGCGCCGCTCGCACGGCAGCCTTAAATAGGGCGCGCCGCTCGCACTGTAGCGCTATTATGGCGCGCCCGCCGCCGCAGCGAGTGTCTGAGACTATACGTATGTTCCGAATAGAAAATCCATTTCTGAACCGATCCGGACCAGACTTCGCACACATATACTGGGGCGGGGCGGGTGTCGTAGCCTACTTTTCGTCATCGATCGATATCGATTTTATCGACTTTTTGTAAAGTTTGAACTGCGGGGCTAGGAGTTGGCACAGGGGGTAATCGAGCATGCTGATTACGAATACAGTATTAGTTTTCGAAATCATCCATCAATTATATCGATTTTATCGACTTTTTGCAAAGTTCAACCTAAGGGGCCGGAATTTGGCATAAGGGGGGAGGGTAAGTGAGCGCAATATTAGGCGTTCAAACAACATTTAGACCGATTCTGAGCAGAGTTATTGTTTCAGCCCGTGCTAGAGGTGATTTTACGCAAAAGTGCTTGGCTACAATCTATTAGGTTGATGCATAATTCCTGCACCAAAATAGGTACAGACCGCAATAACTCGGAATAATCCTATATCCCAAGTAGTCGATATATCATTAGATAGCGCAAACCTAACTCTACAAGAAAGTTCTCAAATATCTACACCAGATCCACGCGAAGTTTTAAACCGAAAACTGAAAAAACCATGCGTCCGAAAACCTTAAGACCTATCAAAACAAAATTGTAACTTCGTTCAAAAAGCTCCTACAAAATTCCTTTTTTGCTCACGCATAGACATTCCACGTAAGACATCTATCTATGCGGTTGCTGTATTTTTTCTCAGCTAGACAATGAGAAAACGAAGTTTTTCATGTTTTTGCCAAATTGGTGCTGAGATGTTCTAGCACTAACAGTTGTAAAGTACATGCCATTAGCAGTGAAGCCTTGCATTTTCAGCCTTCTAGAACAGCTAGTTCACGAGAAATGACGAATTTAGCTTTCTTCATCCGAAATTTTTCTTGCCTAGTTGCCAAAAATTCAATATTTCTCGTAAACCAGCTGCTGTAAAAAGCTGAAAATTCACACTCACGCTTCTAAGGTCCTATAGTATACAGCTGTCTGTGCTAAAACATCTCAGCATTGTTTTGGAAAAAACATGGAAAACTTCGTTTTCTCAGTTTCTAGCTAAGAGAAAAATATAGCAACTGCATAGAAAGATATCTTATACGAAATGACCATGCATGAGCAAGTTAGAAAATTTTGAAGGATTTTTCTGAACGGACTTCCAATTTTTTCTTGATTTTTTGGGGCGTGTGGATATTTTTCGTTTTTGGCTTCAATCTTCGCTTGAATCAAAGCTGCTGTAAAACTTTAGGCACTGCCTTGTAGAGCTAGGTTTGCTCTATCTAATGATATATCGAAACTACTTGGGACATAGGATTATTTCGAGTTATTGCGGTCTGTACCTATTTTGGTGCAGGAATTATGCATCAACCTAATACTAAACCAGTCATGAAAGAATCACCTCCATTTGATTGAGCTTCGTCACCGACGTATGAATCCTTTTGTCCCATTCCAACCATCACACTCTGATGACGAGGACGCCCAACAATAGACGGGAACACATCTCGTGGAGCATCATCTCCAGCAAAGCCGGCTTCGCACATACCGGAACCATTGTCCACAACAAGAGCAGCTACCTCGTCGTCACACATTCTGAAAGGATTTTTGGTTGAGAATGAAGTGAAATATCGTCTTGGCCAGGCATACTTCACGCGGTTTCAGTCGTGACGGGATTTGGCAGTATTCCAAGTGTCCATAACTCATTGTAGGCCAATTTTAAACATACGAGATGGGGCATTTTATCAATCCAGCAAGCTATACACACTATACATGCGGAGTTTGCTAATGTTGGATTGAAGACCTCTGGCGAATTGCCAAATCGCGTGGATTATGCCCGGCCCTATAGGCCTCGGGCATAGTTCAAGCGATGCTATAGCCTCGCGATTCCCCGGCAAGACAACTGTTACGGTTCCATTGCATGCCGGTCCTTTGGACTTCGGTTGCGATAATTTTTCGACACGGCTAATCGTGACTATCACCACCAAGACTTAAACTGATCGGCATGCGAGCCCGTAACATTTGTCTTGTCGGGGGACGAGCAAAACGATAAAGAGTGCAGATTTAAGGGTGACGGTTCAAAACTGCGCGCGCTCTGCTGATGAAGCCGAATAGCGCCCGGAATAGTATCTGTTCTCCATGATTAACATGTCAGATAACTCCCTGGGCCGAGTTTCAGCCAAATCGAGGATTTGGCGCTATTCCGCTATCCGGGCCCCAAAATTTTTTAGTCATGGATTTCGCTCAAACTCGGCCCAGGGGGGTTATCTGACATGCTGATCACGAATATCACATTTCCTCCGCAAAAAAACGCCTCCCTGCAGGGTTACGGCAGGTATACGGTAGCGAGTCAAAATCGTGGATTTCGTTCAAAATCGGTATAGGGGTTAGTTATTCGGCCCGCTGATGCTGAATATCACATTTTGTACCGTAGCGTTATTTTCTCGGGTTACGGTGGGTATACGGCAGAGGTAAAATCCGCTGTAACTTCGCACAGAGGGATTATTCGACATGCTGATTAGAAATGTTACACTTTCTCCGCACGAAAACGTCTCCCTGCATGGTTAGTTGGTTTACGATAGGGGTCAAAAACACAAATTGGCAAATGTATCTTTCCCCTATGCTTTGCTTAGGCAAAAGCGCTGCAGGAGTGTAGCGCGCGGCGGTGGTTGTGTGTGCCTGAAACGGATGTACGGCGATTGTCCGAATCGCCGTACATCCGTTTCAGGCAAAACTATTTTTTACACCCGTTACCGTGTAGCTAACGTAACTCGAGAAAATGACGCTACGGTTCAAAACCAAAGTGATATTTGGCATCAGCGGGCCGAATAACCCGCCTAGGCCAAGTTTCAGCGAAATCCGTGATTTCGGCCCCCCTCCCGTCCGTACATCCGTAACCCGTAACCGCACAGGAAGGCGTCCTCACGCGGAGAAAATGTGATAATCGTGATCAACATGTCAGATAACCCCCCTGGGCCGAGTTTGAGCGAAATCCATGACAAAAAATTTCGGGACCCGGATAGCCGGATAGCGCCTTTAAGTTCACCAAAACAATTTGACCTACCGCGAGTCCTCGAAAAGCGGCTCCAATGTGTTTTCAAGTTTCGAGCGCTCAATCTGAGCAACTGTGTCTCGAGAAGCATTTGATTCGTCACTTTGGGATGCCATGGCACACGGCACTCGCAACACTGAAAGGAAAACGCTTGAAGAGGGCATTATTCCAGTATAGGGGCCACATGATTTTGAATTCGTGAGCTTCACAATCCGTCTGTATGGTGCTTATCCGAAATGCTAAACAAATTTATAGTCTTTCCAAGTATGAGCGTCATCATGCGTGGTCATGGTGAGTATGGCATGTGCCATGCTTAGTCCGCTTAATGCGCTTAACCCTTTAGGACCTGACTTTTTCCCAGTAAGAGAGAGAATTGCTCACCTACTGCTTATGATAGGGCAGCGTTGGAATAACAATACAGCGAAGTTTGGAACTATTTCGACAACAAGACGTTTTTATTTTTAATTTTTTCTCCCAACCTTCATTCAATTTTCTAATTTCTTCCAACAAAGATGAAATCGCGTACTCATAGCAAATGTGCTCGCGTGACATCATACTCCACACTTCTGTTGATAGTGTAAATTCATTTCAACTATCAGGGAAGATAATCGATATTTTTCCAGCAGATGCTGCGGCAGACAACGGTTATCGATTTTTTGTCACTCACTTGTGCACAAAGATTCCCACATTGCTAGTACCACCATGGATGAAATGGGGCTTGCAAATCACTATTAGGAAGGCAAAGGTTGTCTGAAGCTACCTATAGCAATAAGTAATAGAAATCCGTTGTTGCGCCAGTAACACTGCCCTTTGAAGTTGATGGTGGCAATCGCCACCACCAGGTCCCAAAGGGTTAATCCGCTTCGTCATGGGTCAATTCCGTGAACTGACCAATAGCGAAGCTGTTGTCCACTTCACATCCACTTAACTCCTCCACTTCACTACTGGTCTCACTGAATTGACCAATACGAAGCGGACCAAGCGGATCAACTGGATTAAGCTCACCAAGTATGGCGCGTGCCTTGCAGATCATTTCCTGAAACACGTAAGATAAGCACCAATTGATACACTAACTAACGCCTAATTCACCAACATCGAAAACGACCTAAAATCCAATGACGTATTTCGACATCGCTTGCGTGCAATTTTTGAATCGTGTTCTTTCTACGGTAAGATCAACGTCGGACCCCATCGCCGGTGATAGCGTCGTCCTATAACTCATGGCTTCTTTCGTTTTTTTTTCTTCCTTCCCTTCATTCTTCACTTTACTCGGCTGCTTTAGATTGGCATGCCCGTAGCTTCTTCTGATCTTGAGGGCTTCTTACAATGCAAAGCTTGTAAGAATGGACTTTCCAAAGCCCAATTTTTCCGGGCGCTATTCGGCTATCCGGGCCCCAAAATTTTTTTGTCATGGATTTCGCTCAAACTTGGCGCAGAAGGGTTATCTGACATGCTGATCGCGAATATCACCTTTTCTCCGCAGGAAAACGCCTCCTTGCAAGGTTACGGTAGGTATATGGTAGGGAGTCAAAATCACGGATTTGCCTCCGTCTAAAGGGGTTATTTGGCATGTTGAACACGAATATGATGTTTATTTCGTGCGACGGCGCCATCCGGCGGAATTACGGTAGGACTACGGTAACGGGTCAAAATCACGGATTTGCCCAAAACTTGGCCTAGGCGGGTTATTCGGCCCGCTGATGCCAAATATCACTTGGTTTTGAACCGTAGCGTCATTTTCTCGAGTTACGGTAGCTACACGATAACGGGTGTAAAACATAGTTCTGCCTGAAAGGGTGTACGGCGATTTGGACGATCGTGAAGCTTTGCATACACGACCACCTCCGCGCGCCACACACCCTGCTGCGGCTTTTGCCTAAGCAAAGCACAGGGAAAGATACATTTGCCGATTTGTGATTTTGACCCATACCGTAAATCTACCGTAGTCATGCAGGGAGGCGTTTTCGTGCGGAGAAAGTGTGACATTTCTAATCAGCATGTCGAATAACCCCTTTGTGCGAAGTTACAAATGGTTCTGAGATTTTGACCTCCTACCGTACACCCAGCGTAACCCGAGATAATGACGTTACGGTACAAAACCAATGTGATATTCGGCGTCAGCGGGTCGAATAACCCCCCTGTGCCAAGTTTCATCCAAATCTATGATTTTGACCCTCTACCGTACACCTACCGTAACCCTGCAGGGAGGCGTTTTCCTGCGGAGAAAAGGTGGTATTCGCGATCAGCTTGTCAGATAACCCCTCTGGGCCGAGTTTGAGCGAAATCCATGACTAAAAAATTTTGGGGCCCGGATAGCCGAATAGCGCCCAAACCTCCAAGTGGTGTCATTCAATGGAAATTCTTCCAAAGGCATATGAGATCTTTATTGCATTAGAACAGAACCGCCTAATGCCAAAATTATGCTCTACAATTTGTAATTCCCCTCTCCATATAGTGTGATTGCGGAGCCGAGATTCTGCGGAAAACTTGCGCGCGCAAGATGAGGGAGCTACTGGCATGATTATTTGTTTACGCGCAGATGTTACCACAGAATCTCGGCACCGCAGGCACTCTGGCGGAAAATCTACTAAACTGCGAAAATAAATACGACAGCCACCTCGCCAACTACCATTTATTGAACATAAGCACTTTCTCAAGCGAACACCAAACTCAGTCCTATAGGCCTTGTTAACCTGATTGCCCGCGCCGTGCCTTCAACACCAGCATAGGCTAGCGGCTGTCGCGAGGAGCCATTATAGGCGATCCCATTCACTCAGGAATTTTCGAGTAGAGGACTTGTCGCCGAAGTGGGGCATTCCTCGCGGCCATCTGCAACAATTACGCAAGCTTTCACTGGAGGTCGTTTTTGCAAGAAGTCCGTGTGGACTACCTTACATTGGGCGACATATAGTCCTCCACGAGAGATTTTCCGATCAACATTCATGTTGTTTTCAGCATTGCACAGTATATTTTAGCCGAAATTGTCATTAAAAATTTATAAAAATGCGTATAAGGCCCGTATGCACGTACATCCCCGCGGGGAGGGGATGTGCGCTTAACCATTGAAATGATGCATACGGGCCTTATACGCTGGGGCTCCCCTCCCTTCCCCACGCGAACCCCCGTATGCACAAGGGCAATATTGGGGAGGGGATCCCCTAGGAGCAGGGGAAGGGAACCCCCTTATGCAGCAGGGGGGATCGAGCGGGAAAATCATTTTGCTTCCGCTTTTTGTGATAATCGCTCCTCTTTTCTCATCTTTTGGTAGCTACTCGCCTCCAGCATGTCATCGGCAATATTTTACTCGTTGCGGAATGCCCTCGCCGTGATTGCGCTCGGCGCACCAAGAAAAATTTCCTACGCACAATATATTTTTGTTGTTTTCAAGGATGTTGCTCACTTTCGCTAATGCTGCTTATTTCAGCGTAAAAGTGTCCAAAATTAGAAGTCATCATGATGTCTCTACAGTGAATGAGTAGAATATGTTATGCTGCCGAAAAGGGGGGGGGGGTGCCGCAGACATTCAAACTAGAATTTCACACATAAAAGAAATTGTAAATCGTGCTAGCTTTTCATGGAAGCTGTAGCTATTAGCGACATGCCGTCCATTCCTCCAAGGGAATGATCCCCAGCGGCCATCCCTGCTATGCACGAGGGGAATGCTGGGGAAGGGATCACTCCCCAGGGGATCACTATTCAGAATTAAGCAAATCTGCTATTTTCTAGATTTTTTCAAGGCAGCTTATGTTGAATTATCAAGGTAGGAGCAATATATCATGTAATACTATAGTTACAATGTATCTGTTCAGCATATCTGGCTAAAACTATTATGTCATTTGAAAAATGCGCAAATTTCTTGAATGATCAAGAACCCCTACAAATATTCGAGAATGGCAGCTATTATTGCTTGGTTTTCTTTTCAAGAGGGGAATTTAGCAGAGAGACAAGATTGCGAGCTACAGGTCGCTGAGAGGGGAATCCGGCTTTCAAAGGAAATCTTTCATCAAATTGAACGAATTGCTTGGTAATAGTTGATTAAAACCAGATTATTCGCTTCTCTGGCATGATCTACACCATCGAACCCCTACTCCGTTGCAAGGGATGTCGATCCCCTCCCCGCGCTGTTGAGCTACATTCGTGCATACGGGGAGGGGAGGGGAAGGGATCCCCACCAGGGTCCGCCCGATCGATATCCCTGAAATCAAATACCGAATTTGTGGCAGCGAAAGAGTACCGCAAAGAAATGGCTAGCAAGCGTTGGAAAAAACACAGAAACTACAAAACTGCACACTCATGAGTTCTCCTATGAGAAAAGTAAGCCATAACATAACCGCGAGGAAACTGCTAAATAGAATCACACCACTTCAGAAATCAACATTATACTACGACAGTACGTAACAAGTATAAACCCTTAAAACCAGTAATAGGGAAAAGGAAGAAGAGAGCGAAGGAGATAAACCATTATATGTCGGAGGGGGACGGTGGCACTAGCTACCGTACCCCCGGCGGGTGCAGGACCAACCAAGGTTAGAATGAGCTTGGCATGCTCAGACACTTTCTCCGACGGCCCGCGCGCTTTCGAGAGCCTACCGTGCGAGCGGCGCGCCTAGATTTGTGGGCGTGGCATCGTTTCCGACGGGCGGCGCGCCATCGAAACCTGCCGTGCGAGCGGCGCGCCTTGCCTTCAACGGGCGGCACGCCATCTTGAGTGACCGGGCGAGCGGCGCGCCATAAACAAATATATAAGAACAACGAACATGTATAAATTAACAAGACGCGTAAGCATCATTTTGAACTCGTTGTTAGCCGTAAGAGGTTGCATTTGTTATCGTATCGTTGGTTGCTTGTCCGTTTTGCCGGCTAATCGTGTCCATTCTTTGTAAGTTTTTTCTGGTTCACATTTGCACAGTCATTGTCATCCATGCGCTCCCTATTCCGTAGCATCTTAGCGTCCGTATTGCGTCCGCTATTCGGCTATCAGGGCCCCAAATTTTTTGTCATGGATTTCTCTCAAACTTGGCCCAAAGGGGTTATCTGACGTGCTGATCACGAATATCTCCCTTTCACCCCAGGAAAACGCCTCCCTGCAGGGTTACGGTAGGTATACGGTAGGGGGTCAAAATCATAGATTTGCCCGGAACTTGGCCCAGAGGGGTTATTCGACCCGCTGATGCTAAATATCACATTGGTTTTGAACTGTAGCGTCATTTTCTCGGATTACGGTAGCTACACGGTAACGGGTGTAAAACGTAGTTCTGCCTGAAACGGGTGTACGGCGATTCGGACGATCGTGAAACTTTGCACGCACGACCACCGCCGTACGCTACACACCCTGCTGCGGCTTTTGCCTAGGCAAAGCACAGGGAAAAGATACATTTGCCGATTTGTGATTTCGACCCCCTACCGTAGCTATGCAGGGAGACGTTTTCGTGCGGATTTTTGGTGCAGTCACCAGAGGTTTGCTATGTTTTTTCCTGATATTACAATATTTTGAAAGATGTATCGGTCACGGTCAGTCTCAAGCGCAAATCTGGAGGACCACAAACGTACGCGAAGCCTAGACCTGTTTTTCCACCATGTCTCACTGGGTATGTTTGTTAACTGGTTTTATTACCTCTAGTAGTTTCGTTTTCAGTAGAGAGAATCCTTTTGTGGAAAATATTGTCGAAGACGAAGGGGCACCCTCAGATATCCAGATGGAATTAGAAGTTCCACAAGGTTCATAGCTTTTGCTTTTTTTCCTTTCTGTTATGTTTCCTAGACTTTGTTTTTCCAGGTAACGTGTACCAAAGACGCTAGTTTTTTCTTTGTGAGTGACTAAAACAGGATCCGCAACAACCGAAAGATTTGCGTTTCAGATTTTACAGAAACCTTGAAGATACCGAAAAGAAAACAATGGAAGCGCTTTCTGAGCTAAGATAACAGCGCAAGATTGGCGACCTCAACTATTCAAATCTCTCCAAATGACTCTGTAAGTCCAAAGATCCTTTACGAATTTCACAGTGATTGAAAATTTGATTTCAGACGAGATATAAGGTCCTACAACTACGAGTCAGGAAAATGGATGGCCAATAAGGTGAGAATTTGTGCATACTTAAATGATGATCTGACACTTCTTTCAGCGCCAGAAACGTGCCGCACCCGCCGAAGATTGAAAGAAGTTACTAACCGAAAAAGGATTACGTAGCAGCAACTCAATCATCAGCTGACGCCTGTCAACATCTGCATAATATCTTTCCAACGTCTCCTCCAGAAAAAAATTGATTTGTCTAGGTTTTTCTTTTTGTGTTTTCTTTTCAAGTATTGTTCAGTGTCTTATATTGTGTGTTTCATCTTTCGTAATATAATGGTACCTTGCTTTAAGCGTTCATCAAAATCTCCGTGTTCACTGCTTCAGTGTCATGATTCTGACAGGATTCCGGTTTTTTTTGCTCAATCGGGTCATTCTTACCGGTATCTAACAGTGCTTTCGCAGTATCAGCATGGCTGCTGTGCTTTACGTGTTTTCAGGGTGCTTAGCGCAAAAATGATATTATAGTTGTTGCCTGTCATGTTCTGCTTTTGATTCTGTATTATGTCGTTCTGTAAGTCTTTGAATGATAAATATGTCATCATCATACCTGTATACATGTTTGGCAATAAATCTGACGCTATGAGGTCGTAATTCAATAACAAAATATGAATTTTATCAAAGGATTGCTATCTGTATCACAATAGGGTCCTACAACGCTTTCGAAGGAGCGGGCGAGCGGCGCGCCTTCAGCGAGCGAGCCGCGTACCTTCATTCCACGGGCGGCGGGAGGCATGAGCGCTCGCACGCTCAAGGCGCGCGGGCCGTCGGAAAAAGTGTCTGAGTGAAGCCAATCGCATGCCGCGAAAGCTATTTTTTGCTCCTTGTGGATTTTTTGATTCTTGTGGAGGATTCTTCGCGTAGAGTGTGTCGCATAGTGTCATATCCTACTGTTTTTTCCCTTCAGGGCTCTTTTTGAAAGTTCCGCCTAGCAGGGACGTGCCGTTTTTGGGTCGCTCGGCTGTCACATGGCTCGATTACGCAGTATCATGGAAATCACGCCTGGGATCGCTTCTTACCATTGTTGACATGTTAAATTCAACAGGTAATCTTTTTTTTCTTTCTTGCGAAAGTTTTTTGTTTCCTTATGTGAACTTTTCGGATATTTCAGTGATTTGAACGACTGAAAGACCATCAGGAAGCACCAACGATAACACTAGACGAGGATCCAGTCGAAATTGAGAGCGAGGATTCAGTGTAAATTATTGAAGACGAGGATTTGGAAGTTTTTGAACTGACATCCCATCAGGAGCTGAATGTGTGCGGAGATGTGACAGAGCAAACGCGAGAAGATTCTGAGAAGGTGCTTTTGCCGCAAAACAGAGGCAGAGCTGATGGAATCTCGAAGCGAAAAAGCACCGGGAAGTTATAGGGGCAAGAAAATATCCTGAGAGATTCGGTAAGTTCATTTCTTGGTTTTAATTGAGTTTTTTTACCATCTGCGTGATCTGTGTCATTTCAGCGGCTCTGGCAGAGATTTTCTACAGGCGGCATCAGTGGGAATTTGTTGTGTACAAATGTATATTCTTTCTGTATATTACCTGGTCTACTCGATTGATTGCAATCTTAGAAAACGAATGCTTCATTCGATTCATGAGTTGTTAAATGTGAAAATCTGGACGCTTTGTTGTTGTGAAGTGGTATAATGGGTTTCGCTTCGATTGTGGTAAATTTTGGATGACTTTTGTTAGAGTTAGTGAATGCTCCAATATAATCTGGAATGTACGATCTGTCTTTCAACTGTTCCCATCTCTTTCCCTCTAGCAGAATACCGCTCAATTGATACAGCAAAATACTGGGTTGGAATTGCTGTGATTAGGAAAGCCCTTTCCATTAGTAACAACTTGGGAGACCCTCCCATTTGGAAATTTCCGACCATGCATTCATCTTTACGAGAGCGATATATGCCTTTTTGCAGTGCATTTCATGGGGAGTGAGCTGGCACCTTTCTTTGGAATGATCAGAGAAGTTGTGGCTTAATCATAGTTTATGTGCAACAATTTATTGAGTTCAAAAACAAGCTCAACACATTCGGAGTAACTTTATCACACGTAGACTATAAAACTCAAGCGCTCAAAACTAAATTTCTGGTTTGATAAACATTTACTTACAAAAAAACAAAACATTTCAAAACACAAAGAAAGCGAAAATCAGTTCACTAAACAGAGGTCAGCTATGCTTGAGATACTTGTTATGTGATGACATATTGCCTGATGCAAAGTCTCTTCGTCGTTCATTCACTTGATAATGTATCGATTTGCAAAAGCTTACTGTATTGTGTGCCGATCCCCCGTCTCCTTTTAAGGGTTGTTGCTCGAGGCTCTGCAATTTTTTTGTATTTTCTGTAGAAGCTCGATATCCCGGAGGTTATTCGTTACCAACTCCCGGGTCCTCTATATTATCGATGAGAACTTTTTCGAATGTAGCCTGCGCATGCGAAAGTGTATGGTATACAAGTTCTCTGGCGCGATGCTGGAAGCGGTTGCGCATTTTGAAGAGCATATCGCCTTCTCGCCTTCAAACACCTCAGAATCTTCTCGCGTTTGCTCTGTCACATCTCCGCACACATTCAGCTCTTGATGGGATGTCACTTCAAAAACTTCCAAATCTCGTCTTCAATAATTTACACTGAATCCTCGCTCTTAATTTCGACTGGATCTTCGTCTAGTGTTATCGTCGGTGCTTCCTGATGGTCTTTCAGTCGTTCAAATCACTGAAATATCCGAAAAGTTCACATAAGGGAACAAAAACTTTTGCAAGAAAGAAAAAAAGATTACCTGTTGAATTTAACATGTAAACAATGGTAAGAAGCGATTCCAGGCGTGATTTCCATGATACTGCGTAATCGTAATGTGACAGCCGAGCGACCCAAAAACGGCACGTCCCTGCTAGGCGGAACGTTCAAAAGGAGCCCTGAAGACCCCTCCCCTCTTGCATAGCGGGGTTCAATGGAGGGGATCGTTCCCCTGGGGATCCAGCTCCCCTCCCCTCCCCGGCGGGGATGTACAGGGCTTTACAACCTGAGTGTCACAGCCGCCCCGCTCGGCCGCCACGCTTAGGTCCGCGCAGCGTTCGTGGCGCTGGCTGCGCGTCGACTGAAGCTTGGCAAAAGCCCGGGCAATACGCCGCAAACGCCGCGCGCGGCCTGAGCGAGGCGGCCGCGTTGGAGGAGCCGCGCAAGCAGAGGCTGTGACTCTTATGTTGAAAAGCCCTGTACGTGCATACGGGCCTAAGAGATGTGAGCGCTCATTATCGCCTACGATTAGCTCGCGCCGGGACCCCACGTCTCCAGCTGCTCAAAAGAGGCGCAAACAATTGAATTTTACAAGGCCTATGCTCATGTTGATATGCTCGATCTTGTCGTTATTTGTTTCGACTTATTAATCCCGATATCCAAATGCGTGCTATAAGACTCTGCTTCCCTGTCGTGTATCTCGTTACGAACCTGCACAGCCAAATCGTGAGTAATGAACTCAAAGTCTTCCATCAGTTTCTCCTGTCAAGAACCAATTGTAGAATTTCATGAAAATTTCAAACGAGCGGATGTAAATCAGTAGAGTTGATTCCAGGTTAGATGGAAGTGGCCGCGTAAAGGATCCTTCTCCAATGGTCCCCTTTTCACAAATCACGAACTTTCGCTGAGGATAGACACATATCCGTTTATCCAAGTGTAGTTCGTATCTGAATCCATCAAAAATCAGAAGACAGTTCAAAAGGGAAAATAAACTAAACATACTCGAAATCCACTGCCATGCTCTTGCTTTCTAGTATAAATACAGCCTCGTTAGATGTGATCATTGTTGGGCCACTTCCGAATTCGAAGAGCCTTAGATTCCTTCTAGCAATGAAACATTTGATTGTATGAAGCTGAAAAATCAATAATATGCATTTTTGGCCGAAATGTTGCTCATGACGATTTCAACGCGCCTTGCAGCTGACTGTGTCTGTGAAAGTGATTTCGCCCTGTCGCGATCGAGCCCCATCTAGTAAACCTCTTAATGGTGCAATGTCGCTGGAAGAAGTATTAGATTGGCCCAAAGTACCCTTTGATTCAACTGGCTTGGCGGCTGGAATTGTGACCTAACTATGGCTGGGTAATGATCAGAGAGCACACGCGCGAAAGAGACGCAGACCGCGTAGCGGGCGTGAGCGGCCTTGCTTAGGTACAAAGCCCTTTTAGCCGCCAAGCTAGTGGAATCGAAGGCCTAATTTTCGTATAAACTGCTTTTGATGTCTGTGCACACTTAGGGTTGTTTCATACTGCCGCACTGACTGCAGCAGTCTGCACTAACCGCAGCAGACTGCAGCTGACCGCACTGACCGCAACGACTGCAGCGGCTGTAGCATGCAGGCGGAGAGGATAAATAGTTGTGGTTTAAACAAACAACAACAATATATACGTAAAAGCAAAAGACAACGCGGTTTAGAGTGTTACAACAGGTATATGCAATGATAGGAGGAATTAGAATAAATACGAACATACCAAAGAAAACTATCGCCAAAATTTGACTGAAAAGAATTCTCATGGAACTTATGATCTTCTTATGCGTAAATCACGCTGTTTTGGTAATCGCGGTTGTTTTCTTTTAAGAAAAGAGGCTTCGACCGGTGCGGAAAGTGCGGTCAGCTGCAGTCAGCTGCAGCCTGCTGCAGTCTGCTGCAGTCTGCTGCAGTCAGTGCGGCAGTCTGAAACAACCCTTAGGGCGTTCTTCGATAGAGCAAAGCAAGCTCTACAAAGTGACTACCGGAGATCCATCAAGTCAAAAATCATGTGGAGTCGGAGCCAAAATCGGAAAAAAATTGTACCTTTTACCGAATCTTTGCTCAGAATAAGGTGGTTCGAATATGATAAAACTACTCTACCTCAGCTCCTTCCACATTTAGTAAGGGTGACCTTATGATCATATCTTTGTATATTCCTTGATAATCGGAAAATACCAAGTTTACAAAAAATATTTCCGAAAAAAGTGACGTTTCTGCATTTTCGGGATATTTTGTCTGAATTTTGGGTCGGCGAAGAAAATCCGTTGAATGCATTTATTAATACTACTACATGTCTATTGTCTGAGAAGCAAATTGGATACCCGCAAGAATCTTTTGGAAAGTCCTATTTTTTAGCTATCAAAGTTGTGTCCTTCTGTCAAAATTGCTTAATCACGAGGTTTAGCTATGGGTCTATGCTTGGTCATGAAGCGGTGAGTTTGCGGACATTGCCCACGCAGTACGGTAAAAGAATTCTTCCGGTTGTTCTCTCATGCCAAATGCTTTTTCGCAATCAGAGGTGCTTTCAACATTAGAGATGATCTTGAGAAGTACGGGATGATTTATTTTATGTGGTTTAGGATATCTATAGTGTCCTACGCCTGGTTTGGAGTCTCATGACTCGCATCCGATCCAGATATGGATCATGATATTCTAATATTAAAAAAACGTCTAACCGGCTACTTATTAAGTCAAATACCAGGTCGACTAAAATATATGGGTCGTTTTCAAAAATTTATAGAAATGTTACAAACTGGCTCTTGTGTGGATGTATGACTATTAGAACATCAAGCCAAGAGAATCAGATGATCAATCCCTTTCCGAAAAAAATTTTTTCAAGCTGATACAGTCAGAAAATAAACTGAAGCTTAGAGTGAAATGTGCGTCTATTACTCACACAACAAATTTTAATTTATCAAGCATTTGCATGACCATCGATGGTCAACTTCAAGCGATCTGCATTTCCCAGGGTACTTCCGCGATCAAGTAGAAGGCTTTCGATCAAACTGGCTTGGCGGCTAGAAGGTGGTTTGTGACCTAATTAAGGCCGCTCGAGCCCGCGACGCAGTCTGCGTCTCTCTTGCACGCATGCTCTCTGGCCATTACCCAGCCTTAATTAAGTCACGAAGCCCGCCTTTCAGCCGCCAAGCCAGTTGAATCAAAGGGTATCAATAGTTGAAGGCGGAATTTTTGTATCTGATTTGTGAGGGAAGAGGCCGGAATGTACGGCCGGAAATTTTCAATTTAACGGCCTCCTCACTAAAAATTCTGAACTTAATAACTGCTACTCAAAGTGTTACAGAGCTTTGAAGTTGCACATCAAAACGAAATGATTTGCCAGCCTAATAGTATTTATGAGTCATGAGTTATATTCATTTCCAAGGTTTTTGACGATTGTTTACCAGAATAAATGTAGCTTACCGGGAGCCCTCGAAAAGAGGTTTCATCTGTTTTCAAATTTCAAGCGCTCAATTTGAGCGACAATATCTAAAGCCTGTGAATCATCATTTTGAGACGCCATAACATTCGCAGCGCTGAAATAATAATGGTCAAAGTACTCTATACAATACATCAAAAGAAATGTAAATAAAATTCCACCATCATTTATTTAACTAACATTTGCAAATGTATAGCGAGAAAGCGGCTTTGCGCTTCTGTCATCTTTCGTATCCCCAAGTGGAAGCTACGTCGCATCAGTTTTAAGTATATTTTCTGTTACTTCATGCCTCCTCACGTAAATTTCATGTGTATATGTATTTTTGTCACATCAAGCTTCCTTCTTCTTGTGGAGCATTTCTTTAGAGTTGTTAGAACTTTCGAGTTTGACTCATCGTCTTCAGCAACGAATTACCTAGATAGCAAAAAATAAGCAAAGAAAACACTGCAAAGTCTCAGACTCACAATGGCAATTGTTAACGCACAGGCGTTGCCGCGTCTGCACACT